CCTTCAGCTCCTGCCCTATTCACCTTGCATGTTGTTCTGCAGGAATGCCATTAGCTAAGTGAGAATGGTGTGGGTGTGCACAAGAGTGTGTGTGTGTGTTGGGTGGGGGGGCTTGTGAATGTGAGCGGGCAGATGTCTGCATGCCTTGTGTCTGTGTGGTGTCTGAGTGAGAATTGGTAAAAAGAGCTAAAACAGAATAAGAAACAGTTTGTGAGTCTAAGTGTGTCTACATTGATTTGCCTTTGTGTGCATATCAAGTGAAGGTTGGGTCTTAGACAGCACTTTAATGCTGTAGAATACATCGGCACTGGCTGTGTGCTGATTGAAACCAGACACTTTTGCTCAGACTGCTTACACACATGCATACATATACCAGCATACTGTTTCAATGCACTTTTCCAAGTTATCCACTACATTAACTTTCCAAATGCTTGATATCTGATTTGTTATTCATTTGTAAATTTCCATATCTTCATGTAGCTGCAAATGAATCACATCTCTTGTCAAAAGTGTGTGGTCCAGTTTGTCACACTCTCTCCTTGTCCTTCACTGCAGTTTTGGGAATATACAGTACATCTCTGCCAGAGATAGAATATAATTTAGATGATGGTCAATACATTAGGACAGCTTCGAGTGCATCCCAGAGAAGTCATAGTGTAGAACAAGCAGTCTTTTTTTAGAGCCAGGTAAAGCAAACCGAGCATTAAAGAATGCCCTAAAACAATCTCCAAAATATTTAGTCCCCAGCAGCCCTCCATGTATGCTCATAAAGGCTAAAGTATTGGCCCAGGTCTGATCTCAGCTCAGATTTAGCGTGGTTTAATATTTCATTATATCCCCTCTGGCTTACAGGGCTTTGTCCCAACTGTGTTCTGCATCGGTCAGCACATGGCCCACAAACAGACACATACAGACGTGCACACACACACACACACACACACACACACACACTCCAGCCTGCAGAGCCCAGTGAAAACAAAGCTGGGCTCTGCCAATGTAAACATGGACCATTGTTATGGGCACTCTTTCCCGCCTCGTATCTTCACTCCCCGTGGCGATCCAGGGCTCTGAGAGGTACAGCGCCGGCACTGGTCCCATTTAGTGGAGTTATAATAAGAATCACAAGGACTCATTTGCCTTGCATTTATGTGACCATGCCATTACAATGCAGGCTGTAGAGTGTGATTTATGTTCTTGGTTTCTCTCCCTTGCACTCCTCTTTCTCTCTTTTACTGGTATAGTTTTTACTGCTTGGCTCCTTGCGTGTGGTTTGCGGCCGTTTGCTTCGAGAGGTTTTAGCTTTTTGACAATTATTTTTAGACAAGCAGCAGTCAATTTACTATACTGTACCGGCTTTTGCCAGCAAAGTAAGCCCATAGAAAAACATAACATGGCTATTTGGAAGGATAAGATATTTTGATGTTAAAACAAATGTGTTGGACTGTGTGTGTATGCACAAATGGCAGGTAATGCATCCGTCCATATGTGTTCTATGTATGCACAGGCATCTGGTGTGGCTTTGAGGGTGCATGCACTTTTGTGTGCGCGGGTGTATCTCAATTATACGTAACTTAATTGTGTAAAAATGTGTGTGAGAGAGTGTGTCTCATCATGGCGTCTCTCAGCTGTGACCCTGGGCCACATGTGCAGCCAATTAGGGCCAATCAGAAGGCTGTAATCAGGGCGTGGCATGAGGATGGTGGCAGCATGGCAGTGGGGGAGTTTTAAGACCCATGATTAGTGTGTCAGACTGATGAGGAAGGACAGGGGGAGCTGCCAGGCTGAATCACATTTCTTCATTTTTCTGCCTTTTTCACCTCCACATGTGGGGAGCTGTGTTTATTTAGTTTTTGCCAAGACCTGGATAAAATGGGTTTTCAAATTATTGGTTTTTTAACCCATTTAGGCAACAGATTGGTGCGGTTTGCCACATGAGATGATGCAATTACAGGAAGGTACTTAAATGTAAGAGTATATGTTTCTACAACTGGCAACTTACCTGGCACCGAATGACTTCTCCTCATGCAGTAAGGTGAAGCCTTCTATGCAGATTTGAAGAAAGACCAGAAATCATTTACTACTTGTATTAGTCTGGCATCAACCTCCTGCTCTTTCAAAAGGCTGGAACCGGATTCAGCGAGGCTCTTTGATGTCTGTGAGTTTCAGTGAACCAGCTTTGTTGATTGGCGGCAGTGAGATAGCATCAAAACCTTCTCCTCTCACATGTACATTGCTCAATACAGCTCCCTCTGTTCAGTTGACAGAAGATAATATGGTATGCATGGCAGAATAAATTAGAGAGTACTGGTGTGTGACTTTGCAAGGCGCTTTCTCAGAGAAGTTAATCAATCACTGTTCTCACTGTAGCTGTACTACAGTGGAAGAACACTTTAATATGATGTCACAGTCACTGTAGATCGGACTGTAATTCTTATTCTTATGTGTGAATGAAGGGCTCAACTCTGTCATGTCACAATAAAGTCAAACATGTTTTGCTTTGGGGTGAGTGATTCTATAGTCTACTGGTGTGCACTTCTCAAATACTCAAATTCCTAAAGGGCATTTTAGTTTAAAAGTTTTTATTGACATTTGAGTCTTTTCAGGGTTTATTGGCTGAAAACCAGTTGATATAAATTCATAGTTAGAAAAGTTCAAGTAGAATAATATGTATCATATAACAGCCACAATGTGATTTATTTCAGTGTGTCAGTAATGATGTAAAACTTATTCTGCACCTAGATTCCTTTACTACTGCTGCTGCATTTTGCATTTCAGTTTGCTTTTCTTGTTGCAAATCACCTCACAACCCACAAGTGCTGCAAGTTAATCTATTTTGCATCAAAGTATCACAGAAAAAATTGATTCTGCAAGATGTTATGGAGCTTATTAATCGTGATAATCACACTGAATTGTAAGTCAACTTACAAAATAAGCATCAATCTCATCTATTTTTCATAAATTCAACCAGGTAGCAAGCTAGCTATGTAGGAAGATGATGTCGTAGGAGCTTGGGCGCAGGTGCACCACAAAACAACATCGACCTTGTCCCCATCTTTAAATATATACTGTTAAAAGATGGCTGTTGCTATGTGTGCTACGTCATGTATGCAATTCCTCCCACCAACAGATCCTGTCAGTCTCTACTATGAGCTGTAACTATCTGAAGACAAATACTGTATGTCATTAAATAATCTGTACAGTAAATATCAGTTGTTAAATGTTCCTGCTCTGGCTTTTCATCATTGCTTACAATAGGAAAAATCTTGTAATGTGTCCAGGGGATAAGTGGTATCCAGTGGAGGGGAGCTTTGTGGGGTCTGCTCTGCTCCTTCCTGCACTTTGATTGACTCTTGGACCACTGCCAAAATCCGTCTCTGGAAATTTGATCAGTGTGTTTATTCATCAGCCTTTAAACAAATGGTCCATTTTTACCCTAAATCACATGTCAGAGTTTCACTACTAGTGCTACTGATGTCAGCAAAAAGCAGGCAGCAGATTATTCGTCATTGCCTGTTTGTTTGTGCAGAGCAATAAAAATGCAAGAACGGCAGACGGACAGAAAGCTGGACAGACAGTCATCTGCTGAGCTGTAAATCACCACTGATCTGACAGGGCAGCAAACACAGTGACCGGAGTGTGGCCCGGCCTCCAAAACCACATGTGAGCGGGCAGGAATGTATAGCCCACTGCAGTGTGGGTTTGTGTCTGGGGGAAAAAGTGCCGACTCCCTGACTCACAGAACACTGTGAGGTTGGGGGATGTGAAGGAAGGGGTGAGGACGAGGAGGAGGCAGCATAACTTTCGGGAATCAGAGTTCAAGGTCAGGAGGAGTGTGTGAATCACAGCCATCATTCAGTTTACAACTGCTCCTCCCGTCGCAATATACTCAGTTCAAGTGTTTCCACTTAAATGAAACTTGTGATCTCAATCAATAGAATTTCCTATAAAATGTATTGTTGCAGTATGTGCACACAAGCGAGGAGTGGAGAAGAACTCAATTGCTTTGACAGATTAAAATGTAATCAATGAGACACACTTTTATGTAGAAAAGAAAAAGAGGTATGAAAACAGTATACAACTTTTTGACATAATATACAGTGGAATCAGTGGAAAATGTTGTCTGTCCCGAAGTATAGAATAGAGCTGACAATGTCAGTTGAACAACATAATATTAATTAATAATTAATTGGTAGTACAACACAACAAATTACATAATAAATTACATAAATAAATACATTGTTAACGTAATTTTCCAAAATCCACTGGTTCCAGCATCTCAAATGTGAATATTTGCTGGTTTTTGCAATCATCCATATAGGAAACTGAATATTTGTGGTTTTGGTTTTGGACTGCTGGTTGGACAAAACGAGGAATTTGATCATGTCCATTTGGGCTCTGAGAAACTGTAATGGTTTCTTTTTACTATTTTTGGATAATGGAGAAAATAAATGGCAGATAAATTGATATTGAAAAGAATTGTTAGTGGCAGCCCTGGTCCAGACTAGGGCCTGACAAATACATAGTCCAATACTATTAAAAAAATCTGAACAATAATATTTTATCACATTTTTGGAAAGGAACCTTGTAGTTTGGATATTTATGAGTTGTGGCTGTGCAGAATTATTTGAATAATATTTCTATATTAGCAATTAACCACTTGATTGCCTTTATGTGAAAGGTGTGTTTCACAGTGATAAACCCACAAAGAATTATCACCTGACTCTGCTGTTCCCCTCAGTTGTACAAAGCATTTTAGCATCTTTCTGCTCATTGTTTTGGTTTTATGGCTGCTAACTTTATTGTTCTGGTTGACAGCCTTGTTTTCTGTCACAACAGGGAGCTCTGAAAACCCTCTGATATATTGGTCAGATTCAACGTAGAACTCAAATAGAAATAACTGCTATTTCGTTCCTTCTCAAATTACACATTATCTAATTATCTTTATGATTTCCTCATCCCCAAACTCCCCTCCTTTGCTCCACCTATCCTTCTCTTTGAAGTCCCAAAGAAGTTGCTCCAGGAGCACGGACCCAGACCACCGGTGTACTCCCCTCCACCCAGCGCCCATGACCCAAACATAGTGGGAGACAGCCCTCCGGAGGGGAGCTCAGTCAAAAGCCCTGACGCTGTTCCAGGTGAGGATATAAGCTTTTTCACACTCACACGCACTGACACACACTCAACCTCCCATGGAGAGGAGTTAACACTAAACAGTCCAGAGGCCTCCCAGGCATTAAGAGAAACAGTAATTCAGGTCTCAAGTCAGGTCATATATGTATATATATTTAAAGTCACACGGGTTCAACTGTTTCCATATGTATTCTAGCACAGCCATCGGTTTTCACCAATTATGATCATCGGTCTTAAAAATATACTGCTTACCAAGAGCCAATGTTTGCGTTTATATGTGACCGCAGTCCAAATCAGTCTGTTATATGGTCAAACTCTCATAGAGAGAAAAAGGGAGAAGACAGAGCAAAAACAATGAAATGAAAGAGTGAAAAACAGGAGACGCCAGCAAGGAAGGAAACTTAAACAAAGCTTTATTCATGAGGGATCGTGGCCTGCGTCCAGCACACTAAATACTCTGCTCAGCTACCGGCACTGTACTAATTAGGAGGATAGACGAATGAATGAGGAGTTAAGAGAGGGAGCAGACAGGAGATATGCGCTGTAGTGTTGACAGTTCCTAACGCATGAATGGCTTCACTTCCTTGCACTGGCTTCAAACACTCCACTTACAGCTCATCTAGGAGAACCTGTTTCCATCTCTGATGCACTGATAGGGGATAAAACACATGAAAAAAGGACATGGAGGAGGAATATGAAGGCGGAACAAGAAACATTTAACTGTAAATATAGGTATCCTTATCTTCTCAGCTCATTCGTCTCGTTTCTCTTTGTTTATTCACTAAATAGTTGGATAACCGTTTTCACAACACATTATATTTCTTAATGGAATAGTTTGACATTGTGAAATGTGCTTATTTCGAGAGTTGGATGAGAACATTTATACCACTGTCATACCTCTGCAGTAAATATGAAGCCAACCTTGGCTGGGTGCAGTGACTTCCTGGAGACGTGTCATACCATGAGGTTGCCCGGCAACCAGTAGAGACTCCACAAAGTCACCGTACCCTGACAACTTTTTGCACGTATTGAACAAACAAGATAAATAAGATACATAGAATTAGTGAGCTTTAGAGGTGCTGGTAGGTGGATTTTATTACCCATCTGAACAGAGCCAGACTAGCGGTTTCCTGTGGTTTCCAGTCTTAATGCTAAGCTAAGCTAACCGACTGCTGGCGCCAGCATATTTCATATTTATTGTACAGACATGAGTGGTATCTCTCTTCTCATCCAACTCTTGCAGGGAAGTAAATAAGCTTGTTTCCAAAACGTCCCAAAATCATGCGAAGGCTTAAGATTCTTTATTTAAACTAACCTTTCCGTGCCCCTTACATTTCCTCTTCTTGAATTTGACTTCCTCTCGTCTTTTCAGTCAATTTGCATATGTTTCTTCTAATTATGGGCTTTTTACAGCAATGCAACAGAGCTATGTGACATTTATATTGAGTGAATTATTCAAGTCCAAGATATCATGACTTTAATTGCAGCACCATTATATCAAATTGTAGTTTTCTAGTTGCTCTCAACTTATTGACTACTTAACTGGTCTGACTTATTTGAAAACTTGAGGATCTTGTCTAGAATTTAAAATTAAACTTTGGGAATTTGAACACTACTTGGCAGGACAAGATCATTTTGTAGAAACTGCCCCACCCGGGTTGTAAACCACAGGATTCTGACTTTTTATTGTCTCCATCTTTGGTCCTAACTGCTTGTTGCTGTGGCCGTTTCTGCACTGCAGTTCTCAGAGATTATTTGGCCACTACTGGGTTGTCTTTTCCAGGAAGTATGTACCCAGTTATAACTACCTAGTTCCTATTCAGTCTGTTCTAAACACACCTCTGTTGCTGATGCTGAAAATGAAATATTGCGTATGTATGTTGTTAATGATTTGTTCTGGGAAAGAGTGTCAACACACAGATGCACGATTTAATGTCATTAAATTCAGATTTAAATATAAAAATAAAATCATTTATTATTAATAAATGATTTCAAGTCGAGTTTTTCATGTTAAAAATATTTCATCAACAGAGCAAACAGGGTATTGATTGACATTACCATCGACACTCACAGTGCTATAGAGTGTTTTCTATTCATGCTTTGTCTGCCTATTTTTATGTGTGTTAGAAAGAGAGATTGTGGTCTATTGGTTGAATGTTAGGTGATGTGTGCACCACGGCAGCGGGTCCAGGTGGAAACATTTATGTCCTCAGTGAGCAACTCCAGTCTAAACTGCATTTATCAGATAAAGAGAGCCTGACACACCTTAGAGCCTCTGCAATTAGAGGTCATTGGTGTGTATGACAGTTCACCTACACTGACAAAGAATCAAGCATGTAAATATGACTATGCACACAGAGGTTTAGGTCACCGAACTGAATGCTTCTGTTTGTTTTGGTAGTCATTGTTTAAGGGTTGTTGTTTTTTCAGTGATGCATCACTTATTCATTGGGTTAAAGGTACAGTAGTTACACTCTCCCACCGAAACCCGCTTCAGGTTAAGTAGACACAACTGTGCTCAGAAAATGCGTGTGAATCTAAGTAATCAGATCACTCTGTTCTCTGATCTCAACTCCTCGACTCTTGCATACACAACACAAGCCAGCATGTAAACACTGAAAGAAGTCGTACCATGGATGAAAATCCAGAGGAGGAAACAGTTGTTCCCATCTATAAATAGATCGTTTTCTGAGATTTTGAAGGGGAGCTTTTGAAATGTTGCCAGAATGCAAACGTTTCCCATGTGGTCCTCTGTTTCTTAATGACCTGAGTCAGAATGAATTTGACAGAAGCGGATGTTGTGTTATCTTCTGAATCACGCAGCTCTCTGTGAACATGTGTGTGTCTTTATTGGTGATGCATCTTTTTACAGAAGCGCATTGCCTAAAAATGGAAAACCACCGAGAGACTGGAGATGACTAAGTGGTCTGAATGCTGTAGTAGTCACAATACCTCAGAGACAATATGCTCCTATTTTACTGTAAATGACCCAACCAGCGCCATCATAATCTGACTGTACCGGTACACGCTCCTTGTGTGTCTCTGCATGTGGAACCACAGATTTTGATCTCTGGTGTGTAGTCATGGTCTACAAATGAAACTTTTCAAAAACATCTGTGTCTAAATAAAGAATTCAAACGCATTTGACATTTGAATTTCCCGTTCCTGATAGAATATAGTCTGTGTTGTGTTGGGAGACTGAACTCTCCTGCTCTGTCGTCTTTTGCAGATAGGAAGAAGATTAGGGAGACAAATCCCAACGAGGAGAAGTTTTCCGAAGCCGGAGGAGAAGGAGGAGAAAATCCACTGCGGCCCCCAGGCATGAATCCCATCATCAACTCCACCTCTAGCGCCAACATGGCCCTCATCAGCAACGCACTGGCAGCCTACACTTACATATCAGGTAGTGCAACATTCATAAAACTTAGACAGGGATCCAGCGTTACATTATCATTATTAGTCAAGAATAAGGCCGGATCTTATTATTCCACGGCTCAAAATTACTTCTCAGAGAGCAATATAAGTGACATTGGGATTTGAGTGCAGGGTTTCATGTGTGATACATGTGTGTGGCTCGCTATCTTTTGGGTTATATCCCCCATTTCCTTTTTCCTGGGACTGAAAGGTGGGTACATGTGGGCCAGAGGAATGCAGATGTTAAGCGGAGATAACAGCAACGTACACACACTGTCAGTCATCTGCTTCATCCAGCTGCTTAGGACATTCACCGCAATCGCTTGGGTGTTTGGATACTTCCTGTTTTATTACAACCCTCTCTGTGACTCAAATAAACAGTTTGTACATAATGAAATGCATAAGTCTTACAGTCAAATAAACATGCCCTCAATCTGTTATGGAAAGCTAGTCCTATGTAAGGACAGCTAACTCTGCTTTGAACTTGATAAAATGTTTTCTTTCTACATTTGTAAGCTGCCATAACATTTTATGACCTGCATTTATAGAATGCATTTTATTGAGAAATATTAAACCAATCAAAATAATGTATGACCTTTAAGTGTGAACTTTTTTATGAAAAACCTAAACTGAATCGGTTTCAAACATGTGTTACTCATATTTGCAGTATATTTCCTCTTTTTATTTGGAACTTCACAATTGTCTGAGGGTCTAATGGTGCGAAACCTCGGTACAAATGAAAAGAACAGCACTGAGTTGAGTCACAGTGTACGGCTGGGTAAGCAGTGGATGCAAAGCAGGTCTCACACTTACGTAGGATGGAATAGGTGTAACTTTGGTTCAGTCAGTACTGAAAGAAAAATCCTATTCAGAGGAAGAGCAGCTCCGTCTTGTCCCCCTGGAGCTTAAGGTGGTGGGATACATTTACCAACATTAACAACATGTAAAAATACATTTCTGAAGACAAATGGAAGCATAAATACAGTGCATGGCAGGGTTGGCATTGTGGCCAAACCAGGGGACCACACTGGGAAGTGTGTAATATGAGCTGTAAGTCTGCCGCTTATGTTCATTACAGTGAGTGAGCCATCAAGTGAAATATTTTCTAACAGGGTGAACAGGTCAGAGAAAAAATAAAAGACACCCAACATCAGTCACAAAGATCCAATTAAATGTTTGACATGTTTTTTGTAAGAAATCAGCTAAACATAGCACTCCCCCCCTCACTCTCTTGTTCTCTATCTTTCTCCCTCATAACAGACCACCCAGAGAGGGCCGCACTTTTCTTCGTCTGTGGCGTGTGTTTGGGCCTCCTCCTCACACTCTTTGCCTTGGTGGTCCAGATCTCCTGTCGCACCGACTGCCAGCCCCGCCAGCGGCCTCCCGCCAAGAAACGAGCACGCCCCGCCGACTCATCCTCAGATTCCAGCGACTCGGACTCTGACTGGGACACCACGTCAGATCTGTCGGCACGGAGGCACCGGCGGTTTGAACGCACACTTAACATGAACGTGTTCACGTCGGCGGAGGAGCTGGAAAGAGCGCAGAGGCTCGAGGAGAGGGAGCGAATCATCCGGGAGATCTGGATGAACGGGCAACCTGACATCCCCGGGACACGGAGCCTCAACCGGTATTACTGAGGACTACTAAAGGGCTTTTTTTATAGAAAGCTTGATAAAAGAAAATTTAGGACGCACTTGAGTTGGAAAGGGGAAGGGACATTATGAAGCTTTATAAGCAAGCATGCAAAAGTAACACACTGATGAAAACAGTGGAAGGTATTGCAGACTTGGGAATAAAGTGCTCCCTCTCTGCTGGTTTGCATATTCCTCTGGGTATCATAAGCTGTACCCCATTCAGTACAAGTATAAGCTCCCGCTCTGCATGGTAAGCTCACCTCTTAGCCGCCTCTTTCTGCCGGAAACAAGGGGTGAAAGGCTACATTGCCTCGCCTGTGACCTCAGCAGGCCTTTTTGAAGTGGGGATTTATGGGTTAGCTGTCTTAGACACACATAGGCCTGTGGAGACTACATGGTGACTGAAGGACCAAGGCCTCAGATGGGTCTGTTTTATACAGAACGCGAGGCAGCTGCAAAAGACTGTGACACTTGGAGCTTTATGCTCGGCACCCTCCAGTATTCAAGTGTGGACTTTAAGCGAGGGGCAGCATAAAGCAGACAGAAGTGTACTGGACAGTGGGGACAATGTAAGACAATCTTTCCACAGTGAATAACCACGCTGCGTTTTGAACTTTATAAAACCAAAAGATATTTTGGGGGGAATTCATCTCAACCCTTATGAAATCTATTTTATAATATTTAATAGTTTATTGATGTTGTGTATTTTTGTTCTCAAGTATGGTTTATTATGAGATATTTTTATACTTGGCGAAGGTTGTCTGGCACCTCAGGGATGCAATCCTAGTGTTTCTGTGTTTGGTTGATGTATTTGCTTCCTAAAAAGGGGATCAGCCCATTTAAACAGCTATGTCAGCATTTAAAGAAAATAATTAGAAATATCATTAAAAAAAAGAGCCTCAAAGAGGTTTAGTGATTTAACCTTATTTTTGATACAGTATGTTTAATTCACAGTGCAGTGCCTTTTTCTAGCTATTAAGTCACTGTTGTCAAGAGTGCAGCTGGTGTATAACTCAATAACTGGTCAAATAATTTATAAATTGGATATTCCAAATTGATCTTATGTATGTATTTTCTTTTATCATCTGCTGAATTGGCGCATGTGTAATATCTGAACGTCTCTGTCACGCGTTGCACTTGCTATCTCCCCAGATGTAGATGTACGTAACCATAATATGCCAATTCTGTATCAGAAATGTTTCTTTCATAGAAAATTGTGCAAATTTCAGGTCTTGTGTCAACCGTGTCAACCCTTATTTCAAAGATACCAGTGCTAAACCAGATGCTTGTGGTAATCGCTGCTTATGGCCATCTGGAGAAGGAACCAGCACTGAAAAGATGTTCACAGTAGACGCGCAAACCGCGTGTCTCTTACGTCATGTTGCCAGTTTAATAAAATAAGCTATTGTCAATCCAGTTATGTTTGTGCTGCCCTGGATTCAGGCGTAGAAATAATTATAGTTTTCAGAAAAAGCTTGGTATTTTCCTGACTGAGAGTTTAATTGAGAGTACACAGGACATATTGGGGTCATCCACATAAAGACTGCCACTCTATATAGTTTTTATAAAGACAGTTTTAAATGTGTTACAGTTTGAATGGGATTACAATGTGCCAATAGCTGGTAAAGTGAGACCAAAATATGACTCCTGTGCTTGGAATAAACTGTGTTCAAAAATAACTTGACCGCTGTTTTGTTTAATCACACATTTTCGTTTAAAATGCATTTTAAATGTCACTTCAAATGTGCACAATCATACTAATAGCCCAGTTATGCACTTAATATTTGCTCTGGACTGTGAAACTCAGAAAAAGGCTGCTCTAATATTATGTTATAATAATACAAATATAGAGAGTAAACAGTGTACAATAAGGTCATCATTGAATTTATAAGATTGTGTGCTTATGATGACCTTTGGTGAAGTCTATCAGGGAGATTTATTGGTGTTGCGCGCCCCCTGGTGGTAAACTTAAAACTCTTCAGTCTGTGTATAAATAAAAGTCACACGGTTATAATAAAGTTATTTAACGTATAGCCACGGAAAATCATTTTCAGATACAACTTAATTGAATTGATTGTGGCATGAGGGCAACTCACCACAGAACTAGAACTTCGGTTGTCGTTTTCAAGAACACTTGTTTATTTTTATAAACTGTCTCGACATTGTTGCTGTAGTGCCGTTTCCATGGATACCATAAACTTAGCGCTTGCGGAGCCGTCCTGTAGCTTTACACGCAAACAAAAGCCGCAGTTAAATCCACTAATTGCGACAATAATAGCATCTTGTGGAGGTGAGGAAATGGATAAACCTAATTCGAGACTAGCAATGCCTTGGAACTGGAATAGTCATGGATTGCCATTTCTACCAGGATACACTTTTCGGGATGTAACGGTAAGAATGTTAGTTATAAAGTTAAAGGCAAGACTAGCCAACAATTAGCTCAGGCTTTAAGGTTTGATTAAGACAAATAAGTAAGAAAATACATAATCTATAATCCAAAAGTTGATCCTGAATTCCTCCAGTGCTTATGTCTAATAACTGGGTCACAGTTTTGAGTGTTATTCAGGCCTGGTAATAGGATGCCACAGCAGAGGGATAATAACTTAATAGCTTCAATTAAAGTCTGTAATTCATATTTAATAAAATGTGTTTGATGATTATCTCTCTTTTAATTCTGGGGTTGTGTTGGATTTAATTATCATGTACAGGTGTTACTGTTATTCTGTCCACCTCCATATCTTGTACAACTCTCTTTAAAGGAAGGTTTTTTGTTACATAATTGGCCCTTGAGTGTAGTGCATTTGCATCAGTTTATTTATGCTTTTATTGATTTACCAAAGCGAACTGATTCCCTCCTCACTGATCTTTCTCTGCAGAAGTCAGCCTTCCATCGTCCCCAGACTCTGGAATATAAGAGTGGCTATGCTCTGCCTCGTCGCCCCACCGTGGGCATTGGGCAGGATCCTCTTATATCAGAGCAGTTGACCCAGCAGGAGATCAGTGACTTGTCCTTTGAGACATCAGACATTACTTATGGCTCCCATGACCACAGCCTAGCAGAAGACTTCATCCCAGCTCATGTGGCCCTTGACAAGAAGGTACGATAACACCAGGAGGTGTAAGACCAGTGTTTGAAGACTGCTGTCAAATGAACTCCTTGTTTGTGTTTTCTTCTCCACCCTCTTGTCTTGTAGGTGCTGCGCTACTATGCATACTTTAAGGAAGGTATCCTCTATTCCCCTGAGGAGCAGTACCGTGTGCGCCCCGTGGTCATTTACTACTTCCTTGAGGATGACAGCATGTGCATCATTGAGCCCATGGTGGAGAATTCTGGGATACCACAGGGGAAACGGATCAAACGCCAGCGTCTGCCCAAGAATGAACGTGGAGAGCATTACCAATGGAAAGACCTCAACCTTGGCATGGACCTGGACGTGTACGGGGTCAAGTACCGCATCACACAGTGCGACAGTTTTACAAAGGTACAACACTCACCTGTGCGATATGTATTCTTTTTATTATTTCCTCTATGTGTCTGACACAAGAAAACACATATGTCATTGTAAATATACTCTCATTGTCTCTCATTCATCATATAAAGGAATTCATGGAAAGTGAGGGCATTCTTCTGAGCGACCCTGAGTCGATGCCTGTGGATCCCTATAGCAAACGCCGCAAAAACCCTAAGCCTTCCTACACAACACCCTCCGAATTCGACCGCATGCACCAGTTTCTCACCTTGGATCGAAAGGTAAAGGAAATTCCCTCCATTCTAATCTCACAGGGTAACCATTACAAACCCTAATATATCAATCTGGACAGAGCCAGAGTACAATAACATCTCCTATTCAAGCTGTTCAGGAAACAAAACATGATAAGAATAAGAATATATATGTTATATATTGGCTTTTGCATATATCTCTAAATTTAGTAGAGTGCACCTAGAAAAATTAAATGACTTTTAGTGTGAATATGGATTAAGAAACACCACTCACAAGAAAACTACTAAGGTGGGCATGTCGTGTCTGTTACAACAACTAGGTTGCGTAACTAAAATCATCTTTTTTCCTTTTTCGGGTTTCTTCAGTTTGAGATTGAGCCAATTGTTGCGTAAACCCTTATGAAACATGCAAACTTGCAAACTCAACCTAAAAATAAATGTAGCTCCAAACCACTGAAATGTTTCGAAAAAGTGATCTTGTCATGTCAATAAATATTTGCATTATTGGCAAACAAATTCTAGTTTCAGTTTTAACCTCTTCATGGTCAGGTGCTGCATTTCTTTGCCCTGTGGGACGATGCCGACTCTCTGTACGGTGAGACCAGGCCTGTTACCATCCAGTATTTCCTGGTGGACGACACTGTGGAGATCAGAGAGGTCCACGAACCCAACAGTGGCCGGGATCCTTTCCCTGTCCTGATGCGCAGACAGAAGCTGCCCAAGAAAATCAAACCAGAGTCTGGTGAGATGACACTGTGTTTGTGTCATTCTTAGCTTTATAGTGCTATAGAATATATTTAAAGACACGCAAAAAGCATTTTCTGAATTAACTGCTACATAACAGTACTCTCCTTATTTCTTTCCAGGCTCCTTTCCCAGCTGTGTGCTGGAGGTTTCGGCAGAGGAAGTGGATGAGTACTACTCCCCCAAAGACTTCCAGGTAGGTCAAACGATGACGCTGCTGGGCCGCCGCTTTCTGCTGTACGACTGTGATGGCTTCACTAAGGATTACTACCAGCAGAACCACCCTAACTTGGAGATGAAACCCATAGAGCTCCCAAAGAAGAGTGACATGACTCAGGAGAAGAAGAAGGTGAGAAAATGAAATGTATTTTTCCATCTTTTTTCCTTTGCAAAACTAAAAATCATCTGCATTGTAATGCTTTGTTATGATCTTTTTTTTGGTCCATGTTTACAGGAGGTTCCTCCCTACAATGGTTTTGGTTCACTTGAAGACTCTCTCCAGAATTGTTTGTCTTTAATTCCTAAGCCTCCCAAAAAGAACGTGCTAAAGATGCTAGAAAACGACCACAACGTGTTGCGCTACAGTGCCAGGCTGGTGAGTCAGCATGTGTGAGAATGTGTTTGTGCTGCTAATTTTGACTAAACCTTCAGAAGGACTAGTGGTTGGTTATATGTAGTTACAAGTCACCAAGTCACCCAGGCCCTAACCCTGGATTCAAAACAGATCAAGGTGTAATTTACCAGACAAAATTCAAAGCCATCGATAATTTCTCTCCTTGCTTTTGCTGTTACTGACATTCCAGGACTCCCAGAATCCCGAAGATGAGGTCCGACGTTTCATACTGTCCTACTTCCTGTCCAATGACATGATCAGTGTTTTTGAAAAGCCCACTCGCAACTCTGGCATCATTGGTGGCAAGTTCTTGGAAAAGACGCGCATCCCCAAGCCGGGCTCTACAGTGGAAAATCCTGTGTTCTACTCACCTGCAGACTTTGCTATTGGAGCCACTGTGGAGGGTAACATTGTCCCTTTAAAAACCTGCACTGATCATTCTGTTATGTTATATTATGGTATGTTAATGTATAGCTCATGTTGCTACAGTACTAGATACATTAAACTGTATCAGACATTATAACAGACCTTTTTCTCAGCAGCCATTTTGATATGACATAGTAGGGTAAACACAGGTGTTATTAATGACAGAGTCAGGGTGCTGCTATTGTGCATGTTGGATCGCAGGAAAGGCTCTGCTACACTAAATGGAACGGAGCCTTAATTACTATCAATGATAACACTTGTGTTTACCATTTTCATGTCAAAATGGCTGCTGTGAAAAATGTCTATTAAGTTAAATTCCGTTTTCCAGTAGGGGATTAATGGATAAAGCCCAAAAGCTCAGCTCACTGTGTCTTTCTCCTCGTGTTTTTTTAGTTTTCGGCCACCGTTTTGTGTTGACTGATGCTGACCACTATGTGCTGACGTACATGGAGTCCAACACAAGCCAGATCCCTTCTCAGACACTGGATTCTTTGCACCAGAAGCTGGGTGTGGGGACGGCCAATAACCAGCCAGCCGGCCAAAATGGTAAGAATGAAATCAGCTATTCAGCAAAATATGCTCTATTTTAGAATTCTAGTCTGTCAATAAAACAGTTTTTCCAGTAGATGTAACTTCTTAAAAAATGTAGACAATTTTCTTTATTCTTTATCAGGTGAGGATGTAGCAGAGCCATCGTCATGATGTCAGGGAAGGCTGGATTGTCTGAAATCAGACCACAGTAGTATGAATCAAAGCCTTTAACGTAATAAACATTGGACCTGCAGCAGAAAATATGATCTATTGGACAGAATCTGACAGTTTCTGGAAAAGTGTATCAAATACAATGTTTTGTGTTGGTGTGGATGACCTCAAAATACCTTTTGTATATTGGGCATATACCAAGCGGTTGCCAAGGCTTACCCTAAAATCGGCTTCAAATCTATTTCAAAAAGTATAAAATTGACTGGTACATATACATACATTTTATCTTGAAAACTATGTTAACTTAGCCACATAAATCAAAAAGAATGTCAAACCAGGGACACATTTACCATGGTGCCGTTCAAATTAAGCTAGAAAAGCCCCCACCATGCTCAGTGCCACCCTTCGTTGAGCCCACCTGCACCACCTCATTCAGAATTGCCTTCAGAAAAGTCACTGTTTACTGTATTATGAAAGGACACTGAGATGTAAAAAATCTATGTAATTCTGCATGCCTTTGTTGACGAAAGTGTATTAAATGAAAATTGAGAAAATGCAGAAAAAAATCCCTGTAGTCACAATACCACAGTCCACACCTTACTTCAGAAAATTGCATTATTTAATAAAGTAATTAACAAAACAATTAAAAGAAAAAGAAAAAAAACATGGAATGGCATGCAGTAATATCCAACATACATACTTGATGCTTATCTGTTAAGTGACCAGTGACAAATGTAGGATTTTAAACAGACATAAATCATTGGGGGGGAGCCCACGTGACCACTCGACCACTCTATTGGCCAAAATCCCTTCATTGACACAGTAAAGAGATTATGTTAAGGCCAGCATACAGTAAGCTCACACATTTTTCTGCTCCAATGGACCAGACAAGAAAACAAGCGAAGCCGGCTCAATGGGAAGAGCTGAAAACAGCTGCAACATCAGACAACACTACGACCAATACAGTACTTATGTATGAGGATATGCATCAACACATTCATTCAACACACACAGTAACGTGTGCTCTCACTTTACATTTTAATCTTTCTGTATACAATGGTGCTCCTTAGGGTGGGATAGCAGGCTGCGTGGGTGTATAAAAAAATACTGATATGATGAGTAAATGTCTGTCGGGCTCGAGGGATTTCCTTGGATTTCATTTTCCAGCATTCAAGCCTAAGTCTGTAGTGACTGAGTCTCTGTAACATCTCAGGACATACTCAACAAGAAGCTTGGTGGCCAGTGGCCGCCAGCTTCCTTGTTGTGCTGATGAGAAACCTTAGCCAGGGCTAAGGCCACTGTTCAGGCCAGTCAGTGTTTTGCCTTATGGGGATTTGAGTTTTTTGGTCCGAGGAGAGGCTCCGTTCTCAGCTTTAAGAACTCCGTTTTCATGGTGACCAACTAGCAGGAGAGACAGATGAGATGAGAAGTCAGGATGACGAGACAAATCAAGAAGAAGGGAACTCGTTTTAAGTAAGGAATCAAGTCACATTCCCTGAAAATGTGTTGTTTGAGCGTGTTGTTTAAATACTCACGCGAGTCTCTCTTCAGTGGCCGTAGGGCTTGTTTTGTGGCAGCCTTCTTGCGAACAGCTTGTTCATGTCTGAACTCCCTCCAGCGCCTCAGCTGGAAGCGGATGAACTTCCAGAGTAGCCAAGATTGGGTCAAACATACCAGCAGTAGAACAGTCATCCTGAAGGGGCCCAGAGGCAAGATGATTAGTGTAACTGTGTGTTTTGGAAAATGGACCTGTCAATGCATGCCGAACTAATAAAATTACTTTTTGGCCCTGGTGTGTGAGTGTCTGAAGTATATTTCTTAGGTTTTTCAGGGACAACAAGGGACCACAGTTTAGACAGTTGTTGCTGGCCGGTTTGCAACAACTGTTTCTGTGTACAAGGAGTTTCTATTGCCTCCGTCCTGGCGGTGGAGTAAATAAGTCAAAATATATTATATAAAATATAAAATGTACATTCAGAGAATTGTGATTTTGAAATGTAACTAATGTAACTGGGACATACATGGGCGGCATTGGGTTTATTATAATATATATTGGCAATTGAAAAACTCCACACTGCATTCTTCACATCTGAACATTGAATTTTAACTGTTGCCTACATTTGTAAGTCCATACTGTCTTTTTTAGCCTAGTGTTTGGCTGCACTGTGTAGAAAGTCCACATTTCCAGGACGTGTGTGTTTGCAGGAAAGAGTGATGGAGAGAGGGGAAAGAAAAGGTAAAAGGTGGACTATTGCATGCAATGTTTCTGTAAGTTGTTATAACTACTGTACAACTTACTCTGCATGCTGCTTTTTCACTTGACCCCCCTGTACCCATGATATTTTCTAGTAAGTTGACCCCGAACCCACCCCGCATCCAATTTAACCAATTTGTAGATGTGTTTTTACTTCGAAATTCAAGAGTCATTTTCTGTCAATCAGTGTCAAAATTCCTGGATACTTTGTTATAAAACAATAAAATATTAAAAAGTCAACACTTTTTTATGGCCGCCAAGTGTATTTTTCGACTTTACAGTTGTTAAACAGCTGTTAAAAGAAATAGCAGTGCCACAAAATTAATCTTTATCCACAGATGTTGGGCATAGGTCATTACCTTATCAGTACAGTGTTGAAGTTGCCCATCTCCCAGTCCAGCCCCTGGTTCTCAGCACGAGCCAAACCAAACCCAACAGCCAGGAACATCAAGGTCAGAGTGACCATCCGTGTAAACACAAAGCTGACCGCCCACATGTCAAACCTGAAACATAAGACACAGTAAAGATGTGGTCAATAAAAAAGAGCTGAGATGCTGAGATGAATGACAAAAATGTCAAAACCATTAAACCCATTGAGGTTACTTACATTTTCTGATGGTTCTCATCAGTGAAGTAAAAGAGTCTGGCGATGTGGAGACCCAGTTCTGACACATACTGGAGAAAGAGGAGTACCAGACCCACCCGAGTCATACTGCACAAGAAAGACGAGAAGCGGGTGATAGATTAGGCAACAAAAGAAAATAATCCAGTGGGGAACATCCATATAGGGTCCCATGAGAACCATATACGGTATTTCTAGATCATAACCACATATAAGCATCTAAAGTACTTTATATAATACCAGTAGCAGTGAAGATGAGTAGTGCAGAGAAATCTGCTGCTGCAGAGAAAAACATTTCAGGGCCACGAACTGATTCAAGGAGTTGCAAAGTTAAATTTCAGGGAGTTTCATTATTTTTTTTCTCTCTCAAGTATTTTCTCGCTATTCATGCATTTTTCCTTGACAAGCCTTTGAAATTGCAGGTTTTCAAAAAAGGTCCTTCTGCTGGATGCTTACTTTAACAAATAGGCTGCTGAAATGTGAAGCAGATACAGGCAGATGTACTGGAGCTGACGAGAAATCTCCTCCTGAAAAACAAACAGCCATTATTTGCAAAGATACCATTACTGTCAACTCAAGGGGCCGGATGCGTAACACTCTGTATGCATAAAGAGAAATATGCATATTAATTCTTGTTCGTCAGACTTATAAAGCCGCATGTACACCTGATTGTGTTTTATAAATCTCAATCATTGTGGAATCTGTTTGCATATCTAATACTTGTCCCTGCTCCACCACTGTGGATGGCACATTAGAAAGAGTGCAATTTAACTGACTGTGTTTCAGCAGGTTCTCCTACAGCATGAGAACAGCTGTCATTATGTACATTTGTGGTCATTTAGCGCAATGTCACTAATTGATCACGGAAGGAAGGATGATCAAAGATTAATGTATAGAGCACATATTAAACTGCTTCACAATTCAGAATCAAATTAACAGGGAGATGATTGAGCATGTAGCCTAAATAAAAAATTCATCACTCATAACTTTAAATTATGTTAATAAATGTGACTGAGTAACAAATGTATGTTGTTTACACTGAAAAATAGGTCTAAAGAGTCTAAACCAACGATGTTTTACTATAAAGGTTAGATCTTATATTTGAAGTCCACCTCATCATTTCACGCATAGCTTTCTTAAACTGTGTGTACACCTGGTCTGAAGTATGCACAGTCTTAAATCATAACTAGTCATAAATACCAGTTTACGTGTTGGAAAAGGTGTACGCATGGTTTTTGTGTGTACACATTGTTTATACATCTGCCTGCTGGAGTTCTTTTGTTGTTTCTCACTCTTTGTCTGATGCACATACATGCAGAGCCTACACAAGCTGACACACAAATACACACGAACACGCACACACACACACAGCTTATCTAGTCACACTCCAGTACTCCTCCAGTTCCCAGGGCCTCCTTACTGACCTTGCGTACTTTCTGGAAGTAGAGCTCTGGCAAGGCATGAAGCCAGTAGGCCAGCTGAGTGAGGTAGAAAAACTTCACCTGAAACCTGGAGCAGAAATACAGACAGAGAGAGAGAAAGGAGAGAGAGATAGTCGGTCAATTTACACCGCTGCCATAGTGATACATTTCTGGTTTGATTTATTTGACTATGCAAAAAATGAAACAACCTTGTTTTGGATTTTTTCAGTTTTTAAAAAAAATATTTCTCCGTCTTTATGCCTTTATTGGATAGGACAGCTGGAGATTGGCCGGGGGGGGGGATAACACAGCAAAAGTGTAGACCTAGCTAAGTAATCCAGCAAAAATGTATCTGTTTATTGTGTTAAATTTGTTATTTTTTAAATCACCTGAAAAATGAACCTTTCCCCATACACATGAAAGTTTCCTAAATCAGGTGGCTGCCATAAACTTTATAATGCAGGTTTAACACAGCTGGTTAGTGTGCATGTTAAGATTTTGGCTCAAAGCTAGATTACTGACCGACCAAAACCAGCAACCCAGAGTCTCTAGATTCATGGTGTGGCAATTAATTTGTGGTTTTTTGATTAATTTCATACTTTTTCTGAAATATACACCACTAAAGTACGATATAAACTGAGCTGGTAAGGGTCTTAACACTGCTCCTGCATTTTTACAGAGGGCCCTGTGTCGAAATGTAGTTTTGATACTATTAATATTGTGACTAAAATACCTGTCAACACATAGAAAGGATGCAGATGTGGTTAGCTAGAGCTGCTAAAACTGCTTCTGAAATGTGAAAATTTCCTGGTTTCATAGATATCTATGATAGTAAACTGGATCTGTTTTGACTATTGGTTGGGCTGTGGAAAGTTCTGAGGGGTTTTTTAATGAATAAAAACTTCAGTAGCAACCCCGGTATTCAGATATATGGATACCTTTTATGTAAATATGTCACTGACATCAGTCATACCTGAGGTGTACATGGGGATAGTTCTCCCAAAGGCTGCTGGGATGTAAGAGATATCCCTCCTGGGTGGAGAAATCAGACAAACGAACACTTTATACTGTTGTTTATTAGCGCGTGATAAGTTTTAAGAATACATCTGGCATTTCCTGAAGTAGGACATAGTCACTGAATACTGTAAGTTTTTACAAAATCTCACTTACTGTTATGAGAATGTAAAAACTCCACACACTCGACACCAAGTGAAACACACACAGTTGACCCGACTCATTAAACTTGGTATTCTTGCTCTTGGAGAGGTGGAGACGCCGGTTCACTTTCTGCAACGTGAACAATACAACAGATCATGTGAATGCAGCTGGATCCCAGTCATAATGGGTGGCATGTTGACTCTTGTCATTGTCATGCACAAGGAAGTGTCACGGTAATACAAATAACTAGGACGAGAAAAGACAGCAGATACTATTTATGGCTGCTGTTGAAAACCCTCTTCTGAAGAAGTATGCCTTTCAAGACACTTTGTAAACTGTGGTGACGGTGCTAAAATAAAACACCATTCCTCCTCTCTGGCCTATTTCTAAACAATGACACAAGGGCTCATACTTTCAGATGGATTAAATGCCACTCTCTCTTCGTGGCTCCAACTCTATCCTAAGAAAACAAGCAATGTCAGACTGCAACAGTCAGTGCGCTGCTCTTTTTTTATTTTTGTCCTTTTAAGCCCCACAAAGTGCAGTTGGATGCCAACACCATAAGTATGTATCTTCATACACTTTAATTTATTCACTGCTGCCAAAATGGGCAGGTGGGTTGCAAATTCCACCCACTACTCAGGCACGTAAAAGGACACTCATTGACCTCCGCGTGGCCCCTGTAACAATCAAGTTTACATTTTTGCAATTATCTAAAAAGTGGCTTTAATGCTTTAATCTCTTAGTTCATCTGCATCTTCTCTCAAAGGGGTATCCTGCTCTAAAAATGTCACATTTTCCCTCAGTTTTCTCGGTTTTCAAGGACAAATAATTTTATTAACTTTTCTTATTATTGATGAGATATCAAATGCACTTAAAAATACTAATAATATTGCTGATAACTCATTTTGGTAACACTTAAATGTATGGGTACATTTTAAAATTAATTTCCAAAAGGTTATTTGATACTAATCATAGAGAACTTAGATCCATTGTTGAATTTTTCACACTACTAATTTGTGCACAATTCAACAAATGTGGAATTACAAAGTTTACAGTTATACATTAATAATGAATGAATATTTACTTGGGTTAAACTGAACAGTTCTTCCAAGGAAATTCATATTTCCCCTCCAATTAGTACAAAAATAAAGAATTACTCTCCTTTCAGTATTTCCTCATTGCTGTGCTGCCTCTTCTTGGTGACCAGGGAGATATTTGTAATATGTGTTTCCTTGTTTGTCCTTTCAGTACAGTACATGCTGCTGACTAAACAGCTACAAAATGCCAGGGTCTCTCACTGTCAGACCTACAGTAAAATTACAGTGACTGATTCACTGTGCCCCAGTGCCTGGGTACTTACATCCAGAAGATACTCCTGCACCACTGCATGGAGGATAATGGCGATGAAGAAATAGAAGAGGATGGTGGCGCAGTCCTTCCATCCGTAATGGTAAAACGTCACCTCTCCCTCTAAGCACACACAGGACAGTCAGGAGGTGTGTTAAACATCCTGGAGCATTGTATTCACAGTTTCACTTGACAGAAATGTAATGATGCAATTTACAGGAACAGCAGCAGCAGAAGTGAAACTGTGAAATGTATGAACTGTGGGTCAGAGACGGCAAATTCAAATCAGCAGTTAATAAGAATTCCTCAGCTGCACCGCGTACCTGGTGATAGTGTGGTGACATTGTACTGAGGCTGAATGAACAGTATGGCCGTCTTGGCTGTAGCCTGAAAATTAGACAAGATGGTGATTAGCAACATATTTCAGAGAACCTGTCTGAATGTAACCTCAAGAGGTTTGTTACAGAGGTGTGTGTGTGTGTGTGTAGGGGGATAGCAAATCCTAGCATCTCAGAATATATAATGTTGTTTATTATACTGTCAGTCAATACGCCCCCGTGGCATCGTAATTGCCTGCTGGAAGCTGAATTCCTCAAGCAATGCTGTTGAAAAATGTGTCTAGCGTGACAAGGCTTGTATTGACCTAACAGAATGTCCCAAATTATTTGATGTCAAGCATCTCCAACAGAGACAAACATCAGACTAGTATTTCCCCTGACCTTTTTTTTTTTTTTTTTGCTTGTGGCTGGTTGTTTCATTTGAGTATCTATAAGACAAAAATATTTAGGGCTGCAGCAGATGGCTGATTAATCTTTGAATTACTGTTTTGCAAATAACTGATTCATATTTTAGTCTCTATAACATCAGAACACAGAGGGAAATGCCCATTGTAATTTCCCAGAGCTCAATTAGAGGTTTTTTTAAATTGCTTGTTTTTCTCGACTAGTCCAAAACCCAAAAATATACAATAGTGACTGATGGGTTTAACACTACAAAAATGGCAGAAATGCCTTAAATATGTCTTAATCAATTCATCTGAGTGGGAACTTGATGAAGGACCCCGTTGGTCCCGTGGCCCCAGTTTGGGCACCACAGTGCAACATGTCACCAGTCATTCCTTGCGCGCCGAGGCCACAGGTGGCCTGTCAACCTTAAAAGGTAAAAAGTCAAAACAATAGCACTGTTCTTTTTTTTTTTTTTTTTTTTCTCAGAATCGAGAAATATGAAGGAAATCCCCTACTTATTTTTTATTTTTTTTAAACTCGGCCAGCTGTGTGATCACAAGCAGGGTTCCGGATTGAAACTTTGCTAAATGCTTGAGCGGCGGCAGGGGAGTCCTGTTTGTGTGCCCGTAGGAGACGCTATTAGCTAATGAGACACCTAATTAATTGAGACACTGCGAGTCTGTGGTGAAATCCCTACAGGTCAAACAGTGTTCAGTACAGCTGAGCCTCACGGCAGCCAGCAGCAGCAGCGGCTCAAAGATTGAGACGTGGCAGTTAACTTCCACTGCCAAGCTACCGACGTGAAGTCAAACCGCTTCCGTTTACGTTTTTCAAAATAAAACCCCCCCAGCGACGTTGGCGTGCTGAAATACACTCAAAAGCAAGAGCGGCGATTTTATTTTGAATCCCAAAATCGCTTTACTTCCCGTCTTAACTGGACTCTTTGTGGTAACTAACAAATCTTGGAATCAAAATGTTGAAGCGGACTGGAAACTGGAACAAGACATTGTCATGAAGGGTAAAATGTGAACTTTAGGAAATAAATAAGTTACATTATGTCGGTTTTGAGTGGCTACATAACGTGTGTGCCAACATATGAGTTCTCAGTTGTATTCCGGTTTGAGGAATTCCTCTTGGAATTAAAAGTATGCAGAGCAAGACACCAAAAACTTTATAATAGCGATAAGCGTATAAAGTTGCAGTTTACACCCTTGCTGTTGTCAACTAGAACTTTCTGGCTCAGTTTAAAACCATACGTTGCTACTTTGCGAACAGTGAAACATTCATTGTTCACTAAAAACTTTTTTTTTTGGTAAAAAAAAACAAAAAAAAAAACCAGCAGCAAGCAGCCACCATATCCGCGAAACTGATCACAAGTGATCCAAGGCTCACATGCAGGCAAAACAAACATTTCCCTGCAGAGCAAAAGATCATTTCGGCCGAACGAGATTCAATTTCGCGACCGAGTTACATCTTTGAATGTGCAAGCGGGCTTTGCCATCTTAAAAACAGCTGAGAAGAGACGAGGGGGAAGAAAAAGAGAATCTGAGTTCATCTCACCTCAAACATCAATCCAATCAAAATGAAAATCACCAAACTGAACACGATGTCGGCATGGTTTTGAATTAAGAATTCCTGGCTGAAGAAAGGGTAACTCTTGTTCCTCCGGCGAAATGCCATGTCAACTCAATGGTGTTTTCCCTGCTATTTTATAAATCTGAATTTTTCTGACTACGAAGTTCAGGAGTTAACTTTCTCACTGACTTGCGCATGCGCGGCTTCTTAAAGGGCGAGTGCCATAAATACCTTCTTTGAGTCCATTTGTACAATAAACTCAGTCTGACATGACAGGAGAGCATTTCGACCTGAGGGATCACAGAGTAGTGCACGTTTTAAATGTAAAAAACAACCCATAAATATAAGAACATTGATCAAATAATTACAAACACTTGTATTCCAGTCACGCCAATATGTAGGCTATTTATTGCTTATTTAAAGCCACCAGTGGCCTTACACTTCACAGTTCAAAATTTCATATAGGCAGTCAGCTGGGTGCAACGGGAGACCCAGCATCGTTTTACTGCTTTGTTTGTGGATTTCATCCCTTTTACAGAACAGTAATGAGAAAAAATGTCCCCTAGAAATAGCAGAGCACATAAAAAAGTCACTACAAGTCCCTCATAAGCATATTTTGTTCATTTTGTTACACAATAGACATGGGAAAGCTTTTAAAGTCAGTGCCTGAGACATTATTTTTTTTCCCCCTCGAACATAATGTAAATTCAAAAAACATTTTTAGCAATTACATGGTCAACATGTAAATAAAGTTAAAACATCAAACAGAGTTTTGCCAGGCTGACACACTAGTCCTGCTCAAAGCAATGCCTGCTGACATGATTATACAAAAAATACACTATATTATTCTCTGAGGGGATCAGGGATTTTTTTTTTTTTATGGGAATAACAAAAAATCACAGCAATAGACATATGGTACAGAAGATACTTGTGCTTTTTAAGAAGCCAACAAAGCCCTGGCTTATGCTGAGATGGTTACGATTTCGAGGTCCCACACTCCTGCCCCCTTTATATCGGAGACTCATTTCTCTATTCTCATACCTGCTGGCAATTATTAACATGAATAACAGCAGTTTCAGTATGTAATATAGAGATGATCAGTTGTCCAAGATCATAAAACAGCTGCATATTTCTTATGTTTTTGATATAACTCATGGCTGTGTCTTTAATATGTAATTACAATCTGGCAGAACCAGTATTCACTTTTTTGCACAGTATGATTCTTGAGGCTTAACTTAATTGCTGCCAAAAGAATTGAAAATATGTTTATGTCAGGTAGAAGGTGTGTCTGAGCTCCGTACACCGCCTTTGTAACTAATTAGCTCTTTAATGATCTCCTCCGTGTCTGATGAAAACACTGCTAAAAGGTTTCACCTCTGTGTGTCAAGCATTTGGACAAAGCAGTGCTTTTAGAAAATAGCTTATGATTTGAGAAAAGCACAGACTAGCTTAGCATTATCCCAAAATTGTTGCATATACTATGCTCCACAGTGTGTTAAATATATAGACATATAGAGGTGAAATTTCTGCCAGCCTGCTCATCCTAAAGCACTGAGAAGATGGAAAAAGCAGCCTTCCAAAAAAGCTGGTGTTCTCCTTTAATGTTGGATAAGTTGCTGTAGCTCTTTCCCTGATTCTGTCTCGAGAAAGCTAGAAGTTATCATCTTCATCTCTTCGGGACATTATAAGCTGCCTCCTGGGACCTGTCAGATGGGGGACACTAGATGGGGAGTCCAGCACTCCAGAGTCCAATTTAGGAGTTGAAGTACAGCGTGCCCCGACCCGGCTCATGAGCCCACGTATATCTCTGTGAAGTGCTGGATCACTGGGGATTGAGTTGAGGCGCACCCCCTGTTCCAGACCCCCAATGTCCCGGTCCAAACGGGGGTTACTGCCACTGCTGGGAGACTGAGGATCGGCGCTGAAATATAAGGTTGAACTTGACTCGGTAGGGCAGAAGTATGGCTCTGGACTGTCACCAAACACAGACTTGCCCTCGGGTGAGCTGCGTTTGAAATCTGATGCGGGTGACTCCAGTGGGCTCTCCATCTCCAGACTGTCGTCCTCTTCTTCAGGTTGTTCCGTCGACGTGGGCTCGCTTACGCTCTGGAACTCGTCTTTGCAGTCCGAGAGTGGTGCGAGGCCTTTCCCCTGAGACTCAGAGGTGGAGACGCCTTCGCAGCTGCCTCCTGCGGTGATGGTCATGCCCTCGTTGCTTTTAAACTCCTGGTTGTACTCCTCCATGTCCAGTATGGCTGCTGCTCCGCCAGCCCCATACGCTCTGTTGATCTTGCTCAGGTCTCCCGTTTTCAGAGCCAGTCGGATTAGGAGCCAGTGGTGGTGGTAGCAAGGGCAGGAGCTGTTAGGCTGGATTCCACAAGTTCCTGGGTGCTCCAGCAGAGAACCAGCCACACCTGAGAGGGAGAAGCTGCCGTGGTTTTGAATGGAGGGAGCTGGCAGGCTTTTGTCCCTGAGAGAGAAAGAGGACTCCCCTTGTTCTATGCATGTGCTGCCCATGTGGTTGTGGTTCACACCCTGGGAGATCTCTGTGGACTTGGGGTGGAGGAACCGGTAGTATAGGACAAGAGAGGTAGCGCCTGGGAAGCAGAGAACAGGAACAAGTGGATTTTAGTACATGTTGTACATTTTTGTATTCTTGTTACAGGAAACATTTCTCCTACAATTCACTGGCAATGAAGAATACTGACTTTTTTTTGGTTATATAGTTAGTTTATAAAGGCATCAGAGGATACATGTTATTTAGATTAGTCTTGTTTAGGGTCTAATCTTAATTTTAATTAATCACTACAACCTTAAAGTATATATAATATGGACCTACAATACAGTACAATACTACACTACAATGAAAAGTCAGAAAAGTCAACTATTTTAAAGAAAAACAGCTATTCTATATACAGTATAGTCCAAATCACATTGCATCCACCCCGGTTTTGCATAAATTTAATTCTGCTGTTGGAGATGGACCTTCACAGGCAAGTACAGTAACTACATAAGAGGAACCAGCATTTGACCTTCTCACTATGATCCTACCCTTTGCTATCCAACAGCTCACTTTTTATTTACTGTGTGTGTGTGTGTGTGTGTGTGTGTGTGTGTGTGTGTACATATATATGTATATAGACATCTAAGATATTTGTTACATTTGGACTACATCCCAAACGTTTGTTACTTGTGCTACTTGTTATTGTTTAACAAGTAGCACACATATATATAGTACAGTGATACAGACAGCAGTGTTGTCCTACTTAGAATTACTTTTAACCCATTTGATTCACCATTGGGGTTTTATTATTCAGATACCACAGAAACTGTTAGACATTGAAACTAGTCTAATTATAAGAAACGAACATCAAAACATCTGAGACAAAATCTGCTCCAAAAACTAAAAAAGAGAGCGCAGATAGAGAGTGACTCACCGAGGAGAAAGCTACACAGCACAGTGGTGGGAAGGGTCATGCTGTCCCATGATGCTTCGCTAAGGAAGTCAGAGGCGGCCAGCAGCAGAGTGGCGTTCTCTACAAGCATGAACTGAAAGAGGAGAGAAGGTCACACCATCAGTCATCTGCAGATAGCTTTACGTCACTGTGAGCTGAGGACGCAGAGGTGAGGATGACAATGCAAACTATGTGCCTGTGTGTATATCTGTGTGTGTGCAGCTGCCCTGTGTGTAAGTCGATGAGGCAGTGGTGTACATGGAATACAAAACAGCATATTGAAAACATCAACCAGAATCAACCACAGTGAAAACAAAGATGAGAAACGGCAATTTCATCAGAAGTCTTACTGCATAAAAACTGGCCATGCGGAAGCGCGAGGGTCCGTCTTTGACGTTGAGGAAGAGGAAGATGTGGACCAGCCCCATGATGCCATTAAAGGCACGCCAACACCAGGGGCCGGTGCAGATGTCTGGTTGCTGTGATACCAGCCAGAAGGAGGCTGTGAGCCAGTGGAAACCTGGAGGTCAATGTAAAAATAGATCAGGAGATAGAAGCACAATAGGGGATCCATATGCAATGTGTCACACTGATGCAGAGAAGCAAGTGAAAAAACTAGATCAAGAGGACATGCTGCATCACTGCAAGAATAATTACATCACTCATTAACTTAAGTTTAAATGAATAAAAATCTATCTGATGATTTGTATTATTTATAAAGCATGAGTCATGAGGAACATAAGAATCTCCGCCTGGGTTAGTCATTGAGCTCTGTTTGCATTCGTGTATTATGTTACTATATTGCAATCGTTTATTATTTCATTGCACCCTTTCTCTTCCTTTCAAAACGTGTCACACTTAAGTGTTGGCTACAAAAAAAGTGCCCACAGAGCTTGCTGCTCACCTGCTACTCCACAGACCCACCAGTTGAAGACCCTGGCAAAGAACATGAGGCAAGTCACCCTTGCACCCAGCATGCCAGCCCTCCACACCAGCTGGCACAACAGGGCTGCCGGAGGCATGGCCAGGTGGCCCGGTCGTATCAGACAGCAGGCTCTGCTGTACAGCACCAGGGCCCAGGAAATAGACAGCACACACAGACCACAGCAATAGGCCACTAAAGGTAAAAAGAAAAAGTAAGTATATTAAACATTATCTCTTATTCAGACTTCAACTGACATGCCACAAACATGATGTAGAGCCAATAATTCATGCTAACATCAGTGTACCTGGGGACATGATGCCCACATCAGTGGAAACTACAACATATGCCTGCAGCAGGCTCTGTGGCAGCGTGAGGACGAGGGCTTCTAGCAGCCAAAGAGCAGCAACATCTGCCTGCTGCATGACAGCAGCTCCAAGCTCAGCCACTGAGTCCTGCCTGCGCAACACAGATCTCATGCAGTCCCATAACCTGCCAGAAGAGGGAGACAGACACAGATACCAGAGATGTGATACACAGTAACCTCCTGGTGAAGGTTTCAATGACAGACAGATATGAATAGAATTTTCTATAATTGCAAATTATGCAATCTTTTGTAATGTAATATCTGGAGTTGCGAAGATCTTACCTTTTGAAGATGCCCAAGTGCAGTATGTGTATGACAGAGAGGTAGCATCGCCTGTCATCCCCGTCGTCATAGTACCATTTCATGCTGAGCAGTTGAACTGCCGTCCCCGGTAGAAAGAGGCCGAGAGTGAGGCCCGCCCACTGCGTCTCCTCATTCCAAAGGTAAAACCCTAAACAGTAGAACACTAATACACACACACACACGCACAAACAGCAGATACACTAGTTTAAGTATGTTGTGTTTCTATGTCTAGTGGGTTTGTTTTCAGTAGAGGATTCATATCATTAAGCACAGTCTGATTTATATATAGCCTTGTCATGCCGTTTTTAAAGGAAAACACAGCACATGAAATCCAGCATGTGTGTGTGAGGATTTGTTGAGAGCTGCAGAGGCCAACTGAGTCCTTGGGAAATTAAAGAGCACCTTGTGTTAAAGGAAGCTTAAGAGGAAGCTGTTCTAATGAGATGACACAAGCTCTACCAAGAGCAGACCACAGCCTGATTCCTGGTTTTAACACAGCCTGCAATGATTTCTCTTTAGTTACAGACGACTTCTTGCACTGTGAAAATAATGATTAAATAATGACTTGTCAAGGGACAGACAATGCTTCCTACTATATTGGTCATTGTAACCAATGTTTTTTTTTCTGTGACTCCAGTGTGCAGTCCATGCAGCAGCACAGTATTTTTATCTTCTGGGAGTGGTATACCTGCTGAAGACAAAGTCACACTTTGTACACATGCAGTCACCTTGTCTCTCTTGTGTCCTGCCCTTGCCCCATTGATCTGCTTAGTCAGGGAATCATCACCCCTGAGTGCTGCACAGTGTTTTGATAGACTCCAGATGTGCATTCATTCAAATACATTGGTATTAATAATAAAAACATTTGTAATAATTATAGTAATAACCTGTGTAATAATGTGTTTTTAAAGGGCGGCTGCAAGAGAAATCCAAAAGGTGATTCCCATAGGTATCAAGGACAGCCTTTTTCTGAGTTTAACTATTAAATGTAATGATTTTTCGGCTCTGTGACCCCTGCTGCATGACCCCTGGTGGTCCTAGGGGGCCCCAGTTTGGCCAACCTAGCTGGGCTGACCATTGCCAATGTTAAATGAAAAGAAAAGAAAGTGGTTTGCCTACTCAGCAGTAACGGTTGAGCCATAGCCATCACCGTTTGAATTGTGCTCCTGAACCTGCTGCTGGGAAAGCATCATGGCTGAGCAACAGCGTGCTTTCATTCATTCATTCATTCATTCATTCACGCCAGCGAAAAATACTCCACACAAATGCAACACTCCCCTGCCCCTTTTGTTTTCCATACATTTTCTCTCAGCTCGCACCAGCTTAAGGGTAAATAACAGCCCGCTAGCGGAGGGGAATTCTATGCCCACTTACGAGCGGTCCGTTCGGCCACGATAACCAGCGCCGACGCGCCGAGCAGCGCCGCCTGGCACCACGCTATCCAGCATCCGCTCCGCCGGGCCGCGGACGGCATCCTGCGGGCGACCGCCCCGACAGCGTTTATCATGATACGGACAGGTGGGAGAGCGAAAAACCCGGGGACATTATCCTGGGCATCCTCCAACCCTGGGCACATCCGTTACCCCTTCTCCTTCTTCTTCTTCTTCTCCTCCTTCTCCCGCTGCCTGCTCCCCCTGTCAATAATATATGACGTCACTGGGCGGTTTTAAAGGGGCATCAGTTTACCGACCGGCCACCGTAGCTGTTACTGTACACAGCTCACCTCCTCTCCACCTCTGAACACCAAATCATAATTGCCCTAATGTTTAGCTGGAGGTGCATCTTACCCGTTTCCTAATAATAGATGGGATTGATCTGTTTAGATTTTTTTTCTTCCCATAGCTACAAGTCAAGGTCAGCACAGGGATGTGGAGGGTGTCTGTGTTGCAAGAATCATTTAGCACCATGGTAACAGATAACATAATTAATAATATAATTGTATTGATTCCTGATGGGGCATTCTTCTCCCATTTCTTCCATAGGCTGGGGATCAGCTCCAGAGCAGCTGGAGGGCAACGGTTGTGACCATATCAGGAGGGTGTCATCAGCGTTAAAGATTCATGCTCTGTATGCTGTAAGCAGTCTAATCATTTGATGGCCACTTTGAACAATGCGCCACCTGACACCCTTTTTAAGATGTAACCTGAGGATGATAGAACGCTGCTGCACAAAAAGTTACAGAGCATGTCTGGCCTCATGCCACAGTGGGTTGTGAGGCTAATGTTTTTTTGTTTTTTTTTGTATCTAGCAATGCAGTGTCAGCTGTACATGTTGGTAAATGTTTATTCTAGTCAGCTTGTGTTTTGGTTAAGAGATGTGTCATAATCTAACACCTGTGTTTTTATATTTTGGAATACGCTGTACAGTCATCTTTTTGTGGGTTTATAGTCTGTCTGATATAAAGCTGATTAATACTGGAACTAAAATATGAAAGTGCATGTATAAAATTAGTAGTAGGACCTTGGTGACAGAGAAGATTATTTTGCTGAGTGTTATTTCCAGGCTGAAGAGTTCACACTTACTGGTGGTAAATATTCCAAGACTCATAACAGGATGTTTATCTACGTCACCAACTCCCCACATCAGTTTATACTGCACGTTACACCGAACAACAGAGGTTTCTTCTTCTGTGTTATCACTGTCTAACACTTAGCCCACTTGCACTACTTAGTCATGTCTGTACAGTATTTCTCACTAGGACAAACCAAATAGTCTCACACAGTTAAACCACAAATAAAGACAAACTTTGTTTATGTATAATCACATGTTTTAGTTGTTCATGAAGATGTTCCAGAGATACAAAAACAAATGGCAGAAAATATCACAAATCTCTGTTTCTATACATTTTAGATTAATATTAGCAACAGAATAAATTAACAAAGATGTATACGTTAAATCAACCAAGTCACTGGTCCCAGGCCATGCTGGTAAAGTTTTGATTCTTCACATGCTACTGTAGAGTATTGGCTAGGCAATCCATGATTGAGATAAGGCTTTACTTCAAATAGGGCAGTAACAGACAGCTGCTGAGTTGACCTGTAAGGATTATATGGCTGGATTAGCAGGGCTGTCTTAGGGCTCTGAAATGCAGCCCGACTCCAGTTTGATGCTGGTTGGATGCAGAGGTAGAGGGCTGCCATGATGCAGCGGAACAGCAGAACACTCCTTCGCTTTGTAGATGCTCAGCTCTGTCCCCTCTCTGGCACCATCCTGGTGGCCAGAAGTCTGAGTCTCCATCTTCTTTATTAGGTCAATAACATTCCCCTTGTCCATCTCTGCCTCTGCAGCCATGGCCTCGAGCTGCTCTGCCGCCTCGCTCATATCAAACCTCTCGATCTCTGAGTTGACTCGATGTAGCTCCTCTGGTGAGTGTCTTTGGGAGGCCGAGGGGGAGACAGGGCAGAAGCCTTGGAGATGCACTTGGAGGCTACAGTAGTGGAGATAAGCACAGGGGCAGCGGGGACACCTGTGAGGTCGTTCTCCAGTGTGGAGGCGCTTGTGGAGCTTGAGGTGTACAAATTGTGTAAAGCGGGCTGGGCAGAGCTTGCACTGGTAAGGCCTCTCACCTGAGTGTAGCCGCTGGTGGGTCTTCAAGTTACTTGTGCTACTGAACCGCTTATGGCACACCTGTGTCAAAACAGAGCCAAGGAGAAGATGTTTTTAATCTTTTGGATGTTTTTTTTTTGTTGTAGTCCCAATTACTGAACAAACAAGATATGACATATGAGATTTTGGACAGAGCCAGGGAAGCTGTTTACCCATTTTTCCAGTCTTTATGCTAAGCAAAGCTAACTGACTGCTGCGTTCAACAACATGTATTGTACAGACATGAGAGTGGTATAAATCTTTCCAAAAATGTCAAACTATTTCTTTAATCACTGTAGTCATACCTTGCATTCATGAGGCTTCTCTCCTGTGTGAACAAGGTAGTGTTTCTGCAGGTGGGCCAGCTGAGTGAAGTTCTTAGTGCAGGTCTGACACTTGAAGGGACGCTCTCCGCTGTGCACTCGCAGATGGACCTGAGGACAGCATGTCAGAGATTATTACATTTATTTAGAACGTCAACTCAAGAAACCATGGTGGCTGGTAAAAGTCAGTTTATAGTCACTGTATTTAGCTTTTGATCTGCCATTTTCCCCACCTCCTCTACAAATATGATAAAGAAGACTAACCTTGAGGTTGGACAGCTGCCCAAAGACCTTTCCGCAAATATTGCAGTCATACCGGATTTTTCCATTCTGCCTGGTGAGAGGGTAAGACAGAGTCTTGTAGCCAATAATCTCCCCGCCTTGTTTCATCTTCCTGAGGTCCATGGCATCCTCAGTATTGTTCTGAGTGGCAGAGGTGGGTTTGGAAGGGAGGCAGTCTGAAAAGGCACCCATGCCCACTGGTGGTGAGCGTCCTCCAGGTGCAAGAGAGGGCAGTGCTCTGCGGAGTGAGGTGACCACGGGTGAGGTGCTGGATGTGGCAGGTATAGTGCGGCCTGCATTGGCATTGCTGGGAGGAGAGTGTTTGAAATCTCTAAAATCATCTGAGGAGGTCCTGAGGTAGTTTGTCCTTTTGGATACGAGGTCCTTGTTGTCTTTGTGCTCACTGGTTGGTGAGAGAATGAGGTCTTGTTTGGTGTTGGATAGTGCAAGTGTCAAGTCTTTGTGTCCATTGGCCAGAGGATGGAGGAAGTGTGCATAGCCGTCGAAAGGTAGTAAATGAGACGAGAGTGTTAAGTTAGGCTTCAGTCGATCGCTGTAGTATGGGTATGAATGAGGTAGAATGCTGTTAAGGCCGAGTGAGTAGTGAGGCAGTAGATAGGGAGCATGCTTCAGAGCAGGAGGAACTCGATAAGGCACAGAAGGCTCTTGGTAAGGTTTGGCTATAGCAGGGCCTTGACTGTGCTGAAAGGTGAAGTGCAAACTAGAGGGGACAGGACTGCTTAGAGCTGGCCTTTTGGCAGCTGGAGGGCTACAGGATGGCAGAGATGGCAGAGTTGCATATTTATGGCCGTGGATAGATTCTGAGTGGGACTGGATTGGGTAGACAACACGGGGACACAAGGGAAAAAACGCTGAGAGGTTGGTCTGAGACAAAGGACTGTCCAGACGTCTGGGGCAGGTAGTCAGGGATTTGGAAGGCTCGTCTCTGAGGATTTCAGAGACACTGTGTCCTCTTTTCCCTGCGGTCTTCTCCTGAGCTTGATTCTGTTCTGTGGGACAAATAAACAATAGAGAAGTGACATCAGAAACAGGTGAAATTATTTTTAGACATACATGAGAGCCCGGTGCATCTTTACTTTCAGTCCAACCTGAGGTTTAAATGCTTTAAAGATAAGAAGATGTGTTCTGTCTCCGAGACTTGCACTGGCTCTCTATGAAAGTGGACACCACATGTGAAATAATAGTTGTCTGATCAGGATACAGATAGCATGGAGTTAGTTGGTACAGTATGTTGCATTAGAGTGTTGGAAAGTACTTTTCACCACAGGCAGGGAAGGATACTCAGGATAAGAACCAAATTTTTTATCTGAAATGAACCCCAGATTTCACCCATTCATTAAATAATCCTAAAAGATGCTTGACGGAGTGGAAAATGTAGGCTACCAGTGACAAACTGACATATAAATAGTATTTAATTTCCACTAAATTCTACACACAGGTCACATTTATTAACTCTGGATCCAAATCTGGATTTAATCTGAGCAAATCCTTCAACTTTATACCCAGTAAGTCACGAGGAGAGACTCTGCTTAACTGACTTACTCCAGAGTAGACAAAGGACCCGAGCTGACAAACAGAGGAAGACAAAATACAGAAGTATGCATGTACATTTCACCTACTCTTGGACATAATTAACATCAACCCACACAAACACAGAACAACTCTTATCTACTGTGTGCTCCCCTGTGCTCCCTCCCCCCCCCTCGCGAGAGGCCAGCTCTCAGCAAACAAACAGCCGACACTCAGTGAGATATCAATCTGTCAGCGGGTCGCCTTGTCAGGAAGTTCAAGTAGTCACTGGAGCGCTTCCTACCTCTCTTCCTCCTTAAGAGCCAAATAAATAAGGTGAGTCGTGCCAGAATGCTGTCAGCACCTCAGGCAGCCTCTTGTGTGTGAGCGTGTGTGTAAAAGAGTATTTTGGTGCGTGCATGTGGTCTCTTTGCAAGCATGTGCACTCTTTGTGTTTGTGAATGAAAGCTGAATCAAAGAGGTGCCAGCTGTGTTTCTATGTGGGAGTAAAAAAAAAAAAAAAAAAGGGAAACCGAAATATTGCCTAAAGTCCTGAAATTGGTCTCGTCTTACTCAGTTACTATGGCTATACCTTGAGACAGACCCTCTCCGCTTTCAGGACTCTACTCTGCTCCTTTGTGTTCTGCTTTAACAAAAAGGCCATGGGTGTGACTGAGGAACTTCTTAAACAACCACACAAAGAGCGTGTCAGTCGGCCGGCGCTTTGATTTGGAGCTACAATGACAGTACACAAAAGATGTGTCTGAAAGTGCGGGTATAAGAATAGTTCCTGTTAACTCACGGTGTCCAGAAATACTTGTTGTGCTATTCCTAAATGAACACTACAACTACTCACACACTTACCAATACTGTCAATAGCCAGTTGGCCCAGTGGGGGGTAGTTACAGCGCTGGGCAAATTCAGGGCAGTACCACACCAGAAGCTCCTGGCCCGGCTGAAGTGGTTTTATGGTGTAGAAGTAGATGTTCAAACCGCTCTGGCACGCGACCAGGTTCTGCTCCTTCACAGCACAGGCAGGGTTGACGTAACGCATCCAGTTGCTCCGCTCCTCATTCAAACCATCCAGGATGTGGTGTAGATGCCCATCCAAGAAGACCTACAGTGTGAGATGACAGGGCGAGAGATATAAGTCAGTTGATGATGACAAATCAGTATTGTGCCGTGTTTTAAATATGAAACCATGATCTCACAGGTTTGCTGATGCCTTTATGGTAAATACTGTATGTTCTTTCAGCTGACATCGGTGCCGCCTGTGTTTGTGGCACACAAGTCAATTCGAGGTTGCGAAACACTAAACAAGAATTTCACTGTATGACTGGATTGTAGTATTGATTATACTATCTCGCCTACTAATACTCTCCCCTATTGACTTTGTGGTGGAATCATTATTGCATCTGATGACCTTTTTAAAAGCTATTTAAATTGAGCTCATTCAAACAGTTATTCCTCAACCACTCTTTATGCTCCCTCTTCTTTGAAGCTGTGCTGTCGCCTGAGTCATGGCTGTAATGTTAACAGATTGTCTGTGTTTTGGCTGTTGCAAGTTTCAGTTCGGGTTGCATGATCTCAACGTTGCTGACTCTAAACTGTAGAATTACACGCCACTTGTGTGTAATGGAAGATGTCCTGATGCTGCTGATTTGTAACACAACAGTTCTCAGGCTTAAAGCCACTTCCTTGATTAGTCAGTGTGAGAGTTTGTGAGTCTGGAGAAGCGCGGACATGTGTATGGTGTATTTACTGGCAGTGATACCACTGCCGAGAGAAGCGGGGAGAGAGGAGAACCGCTGCGTCACTGAAACCAAACAGCTGTGTGTGTGACCTCAGACAGCCATGCAGAGAACTGGCAAACAGTGCATGGCATGCACATTTAAACACATCTGATCTAGAGTCATACTTTCACAGGATGTCAGGCATTGACCACAACTGCTAACTCGTGCCACGCCACAGCCACAGCCACAGCCACAGCAATGTCTCCAGATGGAGATACAGGATGTGAACGGTTTTAGAACATACACAGATAAATTTCACATACAGGCAGACAAATCCAGAGACACACATGCAGCTCACTTCTTACCCTCCAGAAGTACTTCCTGTCAGCGTCTTTCGGCAACGTTTCATTGGTGTAGCTTTCCCCCACCAGAGGGCCAAAACGTGTCCCCTTAGGAATCAGCTCCTTGCTGGTCACCCCAAGCACCTGTTCAACAAGGAGGACATGAAATCATCAAACAACAGAGCAGCTCACAAATTGGAGGCCTGGGCAAGCAGCCGGATGCACTCAGAGTTGAAAAACATAATTAGAGGGATGAGATTCTTGGGAATACAGACCTTATCTGATGCTCCACCCCCTGCTTGTTTCTTGGTGATTAGCAAAGAGGATCATGTCAATTCACTGGAAAATTGTCTCCTGAGAATTACTATCCACATTAAGATAAATAAGCAATTTAAATAAGCAACCAAGCAATTAGATGTTATTGTTATATATTGACTGTCATGACAAATTTTCCACAGAGAAAATGAGAATTTTGCTAGGTGTGACAGTTTGTTCTTTCACATGCTGAATATTTTATAAACCAATAGCCCAAGTTATCTTTAGTTTCTCTACCATATTAAAATTTCACCACTACTCTTGTTCTGCTATCTCCAGGTGTGAAACTCACCCCTCTGTCTCAAGCCTCCAGGGTGTGAAAGAGAGTATAAGGTGTCATGGGCACACCCCGACCAGTCAACTGCACCATGAGCTCCGTGTTCAAATCCCCTAAAGCAATGGAAATGTACTCTCTCTCTTTCATCTTGGAGTAGTAGCATGGTGTATGTTGTGGATCAACCGCTGCATGCTTGGCAATGGAGTTTATCTCCAGTTTATCCAGCTAGTTTTACCCCTGCTTTCACTGGCTTTGTCTGAACCCCATTTGAGGTGCCCCTATGTCACAGATTACTGTAACATATCCTTCCCTTTGGTGTCAACCAGACTCCAGACAGACCTTATTAGAAGGTCAAAGTGGCAGTACAGGTATTTTGCTGCAGACGCCCGGGCTACTTCCTCTGATCTCGCTCAACTGCCATCTTTCATCTGCAGAGGCTCAACCCGAATCTTGCACGAGGAAACCAAATGTTTTCCTTTTCATGAAAAGTGCACTGGGTTAATCTTTTATTGTGTATCTATCTCACTACCAGTGATTTCCTAGACATTAAAATCACTGTAACTACCACACACTTAATCTGGAAGATTGTTTATGGTGTTATCCGTAAGGTGGGTCCCAGTGCTGGTGCTCTGCTTTACGGTGTAATTGTGTCCTGGGACAAAGGGTTGGGAATACTAATCATAGAGACCTCAGGCTGTGTGCTGAAGGGCTTGCCTTTCTCCTTGCCTCAACACATACGTAGCAGAGAGGAAAGGCTGAAATTAGACAACAACATGTCAAGTACTTCCCGCCTGAGGATGGATGAGTGGATGGAAGGATGTTGGAGTGACGCAAAGAGTCGGTGGTTACACAAAACATAAACAACCACAGCATATGCTTACCTATCACTTGGACATATTGGGGTTTGCTTTTTTTCTGCATTATTTTCCTGCTTTGGTTCTTAAAATAGGTATGGACTCCTTAAAACTCCACTTTCTTAGACAATTTGAATAACACCCAAACAAGGAAGGTCTGCTTTGCTGCGTACCTCTGCGGAGTTGTGGCAGCGTTTCAAAGCCAGGTTCCTGGGTAAGGATCTCTCAGCTTGTGACCTGCAGTTGCTTTTGAACTCTTCCTCCAGAGGCTGGTCCTTCACGATATAAGTGCACTTCTCCTCAAAGTCTGCCTCGCTCCATGATGTCATGTCTACATCCTGTGTCTCTGGCATGGCTGCTGTGATGATCCCTGAGCTTTGCGGTGGCCTTTCTGAGGTTAACATAGCTGTGGTGCACTGAGAGGAGGAGGCCTACAGAAGAGATAAGGATATGAAGTGGGGAAACATGTTATTAAATGTCCATCATATTTCCTTAATTCTAATTGTTGACTACTTTTTACCTCTTCCTTTTGTGTCAGAAGTTAAGGGAAAAAACAAAGACAATACAAACAACAGCTGAAGTATCAAGGGAAGTTTTGAATGGAGCTAAAATTAGACTCCAGAGGAGCACAGAGGAGCACAGAGGAGGCCACGGCAAGTTAGGCATGTTAAGAAGGAGGAAAAGTGGCAGAGAATCTAACTTTCCCAACGACTGCTACAACCGGACAAACAAACTTCAAAGTGGAACCTTCGTGCTTGCTGCCCCATTGCCCCCACTGTCCCATGCATCCTGTGACTCTCCATATCACAACCCCTAGGCTATAAGGGAGGTTCCTGTGCACGTCAGTCCCGGAGCAAGACCACTTTCACAAGGAAATCAACATTCCCAGTGAATCGACCAGACTTCCTCTGAACTGACTGGGACTTGGCTCTCAGCCAAACTGTCTTTCTTTCTGTCTATTCGCTACTGTCCATCCCTCCCTTCTCAGGAAGATTGTCGTCAGGTACCTCAGCCTTAATAAAGGCTGAGTACGTTGGCTGATAAAATTGTGAAATAGTGAAGAGTGAAAGGGAAGAAGGTAGAAGACTTGTGATTAAAAGACAATACTGCGACAAACCCTTTCAGAACTTCCTTTTTCAGGCTCATTAGTTTACGTCAGAGATTGTGATTGATAAAGTCTGTGTTTTGTAATATTTGGTAGGCACTCATGTGTTTTCTCCTGAAGTCCTGAGAACAAACTCAACTCAAAACCTTTACTTAACTAAAAATTGTGTTGAAAGATTGTATGGCATTAAATTCCTAAATCCTGCACAATTACATCTAAACAAAAAACTGACTACCATCCCCTTTTTCTGAGGGAGAAAAAAGGAATGCAAATAAAAGTGTAGCGAGATGAGATTTATGGACGACGTTTCACCCTATTTTTCTGTGAAGTGTGTCACCACAGCTGACTCGGAATGAATGTCACAAGTGTGACAGCTCACTCCGAAACCATCGCAGCAAGTGACACAGCATAAAATATATTCTGAAAATCAAGATGAGTCAAAGGCACACAGCTGTGGCTCGCAGGATAACATGTAACATGTTGACTCTAGAAAGCACTCTTCACTTTACTTTCAAATTGTGTTTCCAGGACAGGGTTGTAATGCAAAAAACAAATTAATGAATGAGTAAAAAACTCAAATTCTCAGCCTAAAAGACACATTTCCACTCTGGTGGAAAATAAAATTATTCTATCTTATATCTTCTATTACATATTAGAATTAATAAGGACGTTGGACACTTACTGTAAAGCCTTGAGAGGAGCCACACATAGAGCAGGCTGTCAGTGCCCTCCTTGAAACCTTGAGTGTCTATGAGCAACCAGTGGCTGTTCTCTGTCTCTTGTCCTCTCTCACCCAACCTCAGTATCCTGTGTACCTGTGTGTGTCTTACTGCGCGACTGAACACTCGAGCGTGTGACTTTTTCTCTTGCTTCTTGCATGGGAGGAGGGAAGGTGTGTTTTTAGAGAGAGAGAGAGAAAAAGAAAGAGAGAGAGATACGCTTCCTTTCCTCTCTTGATCCCTTCCCCTCCTCCCCTTTGCCCCATGACTCCTCCTTGGAGAGTGTTTGTGTGTGTGTGTGTGTGTGTGTGTGTGTGTGTGTGTGTGTGTGTGTGTGTGTGTGTGTGTGTGTGTGTATGTGTATGTGTGTGTATGTGTGTGTATGTGTGTGTGTGTGTGTGCGTGTCACTCTCTTGCCCCGGGGCGTGAGGCTTTCTCCAGGGGGGTGCCCTGCCTGTCACCCAGCTATGTCCGGATCAGACAAATACATCTTCATTTTCTGACAGTCGCCCACCCCTTCTTTAGGCATACCTGTGTTGTGTTCAGAAGTCAAGGACGCAGCACAGAGGATATGAGGTAATGTTGGTGCTTGTGTGGTGTGAAGCAGCCATTTCAAATAAATTCAATTTAAGCTTGAAATACGTCATAGAAGATCTTGTTTGCATAAACAGGATTAAATGTAGCACACTGTGTTGTCACACCATAAACCACACAGACATGAAGACAGTTCCTGGAATAACCGTTCTTGATCTTGACACACATACACAATTGGCATATTTGAAGGAAAAACGTGTTATCCCCTGTTATATCTGTGTTCTGCATCTTAATCAGATGGTCAGTTTAAAATGACTGAAATGCAATTTGTAAAGGGACACTTCTGAAGAAATTCAATATCCTACTGTTCATCTAAGCAACAGCTGCACACTGAAATATTTCCACTCTCTGTATGAGTGTTGCCTGTTTGACTCACTGATCCATACGTACTAATACTAATGTTGAGCTTCAGTGAGTAGAGAGTAAGAAAGAAAATTGTATTTAACTAACCCAATTTCTTGATATTACAAACATTTTTTAAATAATTCTTGACAATGATAAGTGTGCAATCTTGGAACATGTGATCTACCACAAAGGGGAGGTACTAAAAAACATTTTCAGTCTTTTGTAAATCAACAAATATGAATGACAGTATAGTATAAATGACTGCAGCTTTTGGTCTTTTTTTTTTTTTGTCATTATTGATTCATCTCGTGCTTATTTTCTCAATGAATTGTTGATTTATTTTGATTGATTGCTTATTGATACCCAACATATTTAATTTCTATGATGTAAGACCTGGAAAAGCAACAAAATATATTATTCTCATATAAAATATAAAAGAATATACTTTTGCTTTTCTACTTATTTTCCAATCTTTTCTGCTTATTGTTCTCCCACCAGAGGTGTTTGCTTTATTCAAATGAGTTCATTTGGCATCATCCAAACGAGTGCTTATAATGCTCAGCTACTGCGAAGTGCTGGGGACTGCAAAATGAAATTGTGCCATCACTTAAAATACAAATAAATGGAACACTGTGAATGGTGTGTTTTCTGGTGCATGCAGGGATGTTTTTATCCTGTGTTTTCCCTTTCAGGAGACTTGTGTCCAGCTGTCCTTCTGTACTGCTCAGTGGGGGTGAGATCCAGAATGTGTTGATACTTGTGTCATGCTGTAAGTTTATCTGTAGTCTGGCTTTCACCCCAGCCTGCTCTCCCCTTGTTCTTTTCTCCAAAGGCAACATTTGACTTGGCAGGCAGCCAGCAAGCTTAAGAATTGCCTGAATCTTCAGACTCGTCACCCACACGCTTGACACGCGACATACTGTGAACAACAGCCTTGTATGTGTGTTTGCAAGCTTATTTCCATTCATATATGCCCCATGCACACTGCTCTCGTTCACTTTCTCCACTTCAGCAGAGTTCATATTTCATTGCCATGTGTCAAGTGGATTCTGTTCCTCACAGACTCTCCTTCTTTTCTGTGGTGGTTTGTCCCTCTTTTCATACATCCTGTCCCACTCATCACACCTGACCAAGCTACTAATTACAGCTGCTGACATGAGCCACCATATAATTTAAAATCCACTTCTCTCTCGTTGTTTCGCTCTTTCTCAATGCCTTCAGTCATCTCATTCATCACCTTCTATTCAGCTCTCCTCTGCTCGAGCTCCTCCTCCCTCCTCCTTAATGCCTCTCTATCTGAACCTTTCCTTTATTACTCATACGTAGTGTGACTAATTCACATAATGACAACAGGACTTCTCGTATGAGTGGTGCAGAGATTGCACAGAACACAGACGTGTGGGTTACGTGTGGGTGGATGTTCTGGAGCGTGGGTGTGAGTACATGATATTTTACATGAGATTCTTAGAATGACAGGATGATGAGAAGGCTTATACAGAAGTGAAAATGACCACCCATAAGGAAATGTAATTTACTTCTATGTAGGACAAGAAGAACAAGCTCACTGACTGAACATTAATATAAGATGCGTGACATGCAAACACGTCGTGTGTGATGAGCCCAAGTCCACTGAAGCAAAGCAACACCTTCATTTTTGTTGAAAATGGGCCACTGTAGCCACACATGGAAATTACAGTTGCACTCTAAATGCTGAGATGCATTTGTTCAGACAGAAAGCAAAGTGAGTCTTTGTGTCAGTCATGCAAATCTGACCACTGGATCATTTGTAATTGTTTACTCAAAACAGTCAATGTACCATAGTTGTTAACTGCCTGTTTGCTAGCAACAGATGTGTCTGTGGAAGTGTGTGTTCTGCTTGACTGAACTCAGAACTCACTAGAATCTCTATTTGTTTCTCTTATTTTACTCTCTTTACTCTATATCTCTTACTCTATATCCTTTCCCCTCTCTGTATTTTTAGAAAAAATGGCCTTTGGAGCAGTGTTTTTTTTTTTTGTTGTTGTTGGGAATAACTGGCTTTCTGTCCAGTGGGACATTTTTTTGGCTATTGGAGTTTCGGAATAATCGGCCATCAGAACAATGGGCAGTTGCCTTGAAATGAGCTACTGTTAGCCACCATAAACAACTGGTTATACCAGACCAAATAAGAGCACTGAGCAAGAGTACATTTAATTATTTATGAATTCAACTTCATTTGTTAAGAGAATATATCTATTTCTTCTTTGATATGTTTTCTCACATAGTTCTTGTGGTTTCCAGAAATACAAATAGTTTTGGTTTGACTTCTGAGATGATCTGTTTCACCCCAGTGCTATGAAGTTGAGTGGACTTTTTCATGTGGTGGTCGCAAAATTTAAAAACTAAAATGATGTCCCTGTAACTCAACAGGTTTCAGTGTAACTACATTCTACCCAAGAAATAGAGAAATAGTCCCTCGCAAATCTGTAATCCACAGTGTGTTCTGTGCATTATCCAGGGTCTTAGGGACAAGGAAAGAAAAGAAAATTAGCATTTTACAGTAGACAGAAGATACAGTTAAGGCTCTTATACACTCGCCGTTCCCGACCTGTAGCGCGACAATGTGACATCACAGGAGTGCCGTAACTATTTATACTTGCGTGTGGTGGTCGCGACACTAGTTGCAGTCTTCTCCTGAACAGAGGTGTCGCCACTGAGGAAAGGCTACTGACTTTGCTATTTCTACGCACTAGAAGAAGAAGAAATAGGTAAACAATGGAGTTTGTTTTCGCACAATCGCTCGCGTTTTTGAAGAAGTTTTCCAACAGAAATGCCAGGTAAACAATGGCAGACCTCTCTTTTTGATTTATTAGTAAGTCACATTGTCGCGCAACAGGTCGGGAACGGCGAGTGTATAAGAGTCTTTAGTCACCAGCATATAAACTGGAATACAGAGAGCAGCTTGTGGACAGGCTAAGGGGTGCCTTTGGGGCATCTGCAGATATCTCAAGCCCTGTAATTTCCATGCTTGAGTCTGTACCTGCCTAGGGTCATTTCTCGCAGCAGGACTAAAGGCGACCACTCCTTCCCTGTCACCTCCCCCAAGGATGAGGACAATGATCTTTGGCAGAGAAGGCTGCGACTGAGCCCATTTTATAACCTATTACAGCTGAAATGTTTGACGCAGCCTCCACTTCTGCCTTTGCTAAAGTTTTATGGCTGACTCAAAGAGAAATGTTTCGCATTCTATCACAACTATCTTGTTGTCACATCCCCCTCTCTCACCCCTGTCACCCTCACTTTTTGCTGCTTTCAGCTTGTCAGCATCGTCTGCCTCCCCATCCATTTCATGTTACTTCAATTGATTTCCTTTACCACACGTTACCCTGCGCTCTATTCAGTTTGTGGTTGAGAGATCACTCATACGCACATGCATTTCTTCCGGTCTTTGACAGTTCGACTGAGGTCAGATATGCTTTATTGACATGACAGGAGCAATATGAACTTAATGTATGTGTTTTGAACAGAAAAACAGAAATGTAATTTCTCCATCTTTTATTCCCTCCCATTTTCCATTTCAGGTGTGAGAATAAATGTCAGCACTGCAGCACAGCTACCACCCACCTAGTCCACCAGCCATCTCCACTCAACTGGTGGATGATCTCCTGTTGACAGGCCATGGATTATTATCATGGTTTCAGGGCTAATAGGAATGCTACTGCGCTTCACAACAGATGTCTTTTCAAATCCTGACAATACCTCCCACAGAGATGAGGAGAAAACGCTATCACTGTACTCAGCTGACCCACTGTGTAGATGTAAATGATAGATAATGTCCAACAGTGACAACAAAGACTAATACATGCCTGCAGACACACATAGACGTTTTTTACACAGGTCGGTGTTCACATGCACAGACCTTATTTTCAGGGGACCAAGAAAGGATTTCCAACAAAAGATTTTCATTTAAATATCCAACCAGTATAATGCTAATCTAATGCCAGCAAATGTAATCAGTCATCTTAGATACATTACTATCTATTACTATTTTTTTATAGTTTGGCTATAATTTGAGACCTACAATACCATTCTTCAGGTTTAAAATTAGATGAAGGCTAAAAGGCTTGGCGTTAGCCCCTTTGACTGAAAATCATGACGGGTAGAGTGCACTGTAACACTAGTGTGAGGTGACTTCTGTGAACATTAGTTGTATGCACACGATCTGAAAGCGGCAGGAAAGCAGTACTTACAGTAACCTACAACTCATGGGCTGTCCCAGTTCCATGTCGAGGAGTGTGCAGTGTAATTGAAACACGTTCCAGTCTTGAACAATTGTCATGTGTCATTTCTGTCTTTCACATGTATGCAGACTTGATGATCTGACTGATCTGAAACAACTGGGTGAGAAGCTAGTAACCCTGCTGTGGTAATCAGTTATAATGAGCATAAACAGAGACAAAAACATTATTGCTTTGGAATAACGATTTCTATGTCACAATAACATGTTTGACAACAATTAGATTTTTCTGTTGGATTTCTCCATAAATAAGTATGCATATACATATGCAATATATCGACAGCCACATATACTATATTTATTATGTGCAATGTGCCTATTAAATGAATCATTGCATATACTACAAAACACATATTCATGTTTAAAACACAATTTGTATTGTTTGTTAATCAGAACCACCGTCCTGCCCTGAGAACTCAAACCACAGTGGTTAACACTTGATTTCACCATACTGTAAAAAGAGAAACATCCTTTCTGGGCATTTGGTCTCAAATGAAGTGTTTCCTTTTTCCCACACTCGCTTTCAGTTCTATCAACCCTGTTTATCAGCTAATGGATTTCTAATACTCATATAAACATTCTGGTATTCCTTTAAACTAACATTTAATAACAGATACTGCAGATACTCTGCACTTTAAAACTGTCCACCCAAAGACGTCTACGTCTCTAATTATTGCTCTTAAAACACTTGCTTCTCTACCAGCTCCACTTTTCTCAAATAAATGTGTGTCACCTGAAAACTTTATGTCCTCAGTTTCCTACTGAAGACCAGATCGACTGACTTTGGGGGGTAGCTGCACAGCTGAGGAAGTGTCAGACCCTCAGGAGCCACACCTGCCTGTATTAAAAGGCTCCTCACATTGTTTTGTCTTCCTCTTGATTACTAACCCAGACTGTAATAATGACCAACACTGAGACACATCATCCGGGAAGGATGCAAACACACACCTAACACACACCCGCTCTTACGTGTCTCTTACGAGCTTGAGATGTTTCATCCAATGGAAGAAAACAAAATCTAACTGTTACTATTAGATGAGAAATGGTAACATACACTGTAGAATGTATTAGGATTCTTCCTTTGAGTGTGTGTGTGTGTGTGTGTGTGTGTGTGTGTGTGTGTGTGTGTGTGTGTGTGTGTGTGTGTGTGTGTGTGTGTATCTGGTTGTCTGTGTCCATTTGTCTCTCAGGAGCAGCTAGCCGATTCAGCTCAGTCAGCCCTTGGTAGCTTGCTGTTCTCAGATTCCTGCCATATTTCTGGATGGCCACTGAACAAACAGAGGTGAACCTGATCCATGCTGTCACACTCTGGCACGGGGTAGAGTTTCCCCTAACTCTCGCTCTCTCTCGCACACACTCAACTTCCTCCCTGACATCCCAAATAAAGACATACAGAGAAGCAGACTGTGACCCCTGTATGAGCGGATGCAATATGCTTGTGTATGAGTATTCATGCATGAACATTCCTTACTGTGTGCGTCCTTGTCTTGTGTGAATGACACCAGTCCCTTCCTGTTCTGTATAAGACTGTATCACAGAATCAAGTGATACCTGTTTGGCAAAGCAGTATCATTGCAAGGAACATCATAGTAAAACCATGTCCAGTAAACACATTAGTTGGTTTCTGGCTGAGTTAGATGAGAAGATTGATACCACTCATATCAGAAGCTTAGCTTAGCATAAAGACTGGGTAAAAAAAAATCCAACTACCAGCACCTCTAAAGCTCACAAATTAATACATCATATCTTGTTTTTTTTTTTTTTTATCTTATTATCTAACACTATTCTTTTATATACGTGTTGCATTCGTGTACTGTGTGCTGATGAGTGGCCTGTGCAATATTTCCTCATTGAGCAATAGCACAACAGGAGTACAATACAAAGTGTTTAAATGGTTTTAGTCAGCTGCTCAGGAATGGTGTTCATTATAAAAGGGGAACTTACTACTATTCAGTGACAACATCAGTGACATCACCAGGTGCCACCATGTCTGTCTACACATCTCAGTCTGCGTCTGACACTCCTTCACACTCATACAGAGACACACACTCTCTCTATTTTAGAACCAGTCAGACAGCACTGTCCTCCACCTGTCTCCAGTGTTACCTGCCCCAGTCATTAACAGGGTCCCAGATCCCCACTGTAAGTGCACATGTCAACAGCAAAATTACAGGGCCTGCGCACACACACACATATTTGTTTTGCTTTTAAAAGGGTAATATCTGTCTGCACGCACGCAATACGTTCATTTTCTTTTCTGCCCCTCCACATCTTCTTTTTCTTTGGGGACAAACCCAGAAAACAAAGCAGGTGAGGTTCAAAGACAAAACAGAAAAAAAGGGCACGAGGTGAGGAGATGTATGGAGATGACTGACACACATTGATGGTTTGTGTTTGTGTAATGACAAGGGGTGTTTTTCAGCCCTGTTTCTCTGGTTAGTGCCGATTTTAGCTCGGAGATCACAAACCACTTCCCTGACTGAAGTCTCATTCGATCTCTGCTTTGTTCTCCCACTTAGCTCGCTCTTGCCTGACTAATCAAGACAAGAAAGTCTCTCTCTCCAGAAGTCTGTGGTAAGAGTGTCTATGTCTAAGTTTGACGAAGAGGAAAACACAGTGCCAGATTGAGATACAAATAGCTTTGACTGAAAGATAAAGATCTATTTTCAGACAATGACATCAACTTTTCTTTTCACTGGAGTTTTATGTATGCCAAGGGTTTACTGTTAGTATAAATATGCCATGGTGCCCATACAAGCAATCAAGGACACTCTACCCCTGAAAGTTGTGTTGTTGTAAAACTGTCCTTTTATCCTCTGCTCTTTCACCAAGTCGGCTTTGGGTAACCTGAGTGCTCTCTTTCCCTTTTCAACATGATCAGTACAAACAATGACAAACTTCCCCTCTCTTCAGTGAGATTGACTTGGTCTTACTGTCGCTCTTATCATGTGTTTTTTCTGCTGAAAGAACTCATGACTGTATGTCTGAATAGATACTGACAGAACCTCATTAGATGTGGCATCGCTGCCATCCTGAAACAGACAGCAATGAAGTCACCACTGGACAACATTGGACTTGTTAGCACAGTTTAAAAAAAAAAAAAAGAATGGTTGCTCTTTTGTTGACGATCAACACATATTAGTCACTGTATTTTGCTTTTACCCGGATATCACTGAAACTGGCACAGCCTCAAACATGAACTGACTTCACCTTGGTGAGCAAACATACTGCATGCATGATGACAAATGCATTAAGCATTTCCTATAATTTGTGCGCCGATCACATCCGTCTTCTGTGTGTGCTGTAATTTCCCTGACTGGATCCTCAATAACATCCTGTTGTCTGAGGACATCTGAGGGGCCAAGTTGGACTGACCCTCCACCACATCACACACAGGACAGGACAGAGCAGAGACTATTATCCTGGCCCAGGCTAATGACAGTTGAAAGAGAGAAACAGGCAGGAAGCTGTCCCCTGTGATCTCTGTATTTAAAAGTGTTCTTATTATTGCTTGTGTATTGTTTTGTCGTGCTGGGATCCCTTTGGACTACTATTATTAAGTTGAAGGACTGTGACTCGACTGTGGCCATATATTTTAGCTGAGGTTTGGTGATACATAAAAGGAACGTGGACATCCCTTATTGTTGATGATAACCTTTGTGATTTTGCTTAAAGTAATTAAATCCACTGTATATTATTGTAAGAAACTGCCACATCAGCCTGCACTGAGCAGAATAATGTCTTCATTAGATGTAGCCCAATCTCCCTGTCCACAGATAAGATGTTCAACAAAAAGGCATCAAAGGTGTAACATATCTCTTTGCCTGCTGATGTTCATCTGTATTACAATTCAACGTTGTCATGTGGACACATGGCAAGTGGCAATAGTATAAAATATGGAAACATTACGTGACATTATTTTTATTATTAATACCATATAATATGAAGTGAATATCAAGTGTATTTTAAGTGCATTCATTGACTGCCTTTTACATTTGGAGTGGGCTCTTTATAGAGAAGAAAGAAATAAGTAAGTCAAGGTGCTGCTTCACACCATGATTCATTTTTAACCTCTGAATAGACTCCTGTCTGAGTGTAAACAGCCAAAACCAGAAGTGAAAATATTAAGAAGCGTATGTGCTGGTAAAGTCTGATTGATATCAGTATGCTGGCAACTTATCTTCCTGCAAATATGATCTCACAGGGTTTGTGAACATGCGGCTTACAAGAAAGGATTCCTCTACGCATAAAAGAGACTTTATTGACCATCACAGGTTGTATCGGTTCATCCTGGTATGTTAAACGGTTTATCTGATCTCATATTGTTAGTGTTAAGTTTGCCATCTCCATTGATTGGTATGATCGGCAGCACACTTCCTTCCAAAGCTTTGCAGATTCATCAGATGCAAAAAAATTAAAAACCACCTCTAGCAAAATGCACCGCTTCACAGGAGCCACTCTGAGTGAAGCCATAGAGATTTATGGATGAGTTAACCTTGTGGTAACCCTGTGCAGCGAAACACAACAGGTGGTCAGTCTCCTTTGTGCACCGCAGCAGAGACAGGTGCTTCCGACCATGGGGGAGAGATCACTGTTGACTCTGGACAATGGGGGAAACAGGGGAACAAGAAGGTCTAATTCATGCATGGCCACTTCCAGCCCAGCCCAACTCTATGTCAAACACACAAATGCATAAACCCGCCCACTCTATGAGCATTAAAAAGTCCATATTTCAATGCAAACACAAACACGCTCATTCAAACTGTCAGTGTTTTTCTCCCCCCGGTTTGTTAGGGAAACAGAGGCGTCAGAGGACAATAGTTTCTGGGACCCATATCTGATCCTGACATATAGGCAAACAGGAAGAGATCCCCTTTGCATAGAGGGGTATTCCTGACTCCGGCTTAAGGAAGGGAAGAAGAATGGTGTTAGAGGGGAAGGGAGGGGGCAGAGACCATCCTTTGACCCAGAACATCCACCTACAAACATTTCCGATACTAAGTCCATCAGAAGAGAGACCAAAATCTCAGAGCAGAGGAAGAATGGAATGATCTGAGATTAGCAGTGGCACCATCTGACACCCCAAACTATATTTTCCTTACACAGAAAAACGCTCTTTCCTCCACCTGCTATCAGCTAGTCACGCTTCTCTACTTTCATCATGCATTCACGCATGAGAGGATGTCACCAGTCCTTTTCTAAAAATCTGGCTCAGTAGCGTGACAGCTCTGATAGCTTTAAGCCGAATCTGAAAGTAACAACACTTTGGAATCTCCTGTATGATCTGACTGTATGATCAGCAGCGGTATCCAAACAATGTGTTTCCTTTTTGACTGAAACACTGCTGTGTAATTAACCCGGCCTCAGGGCTCTTATCTGCATAGCTGTAGAATGACTTGTAGTCGCAGTGTGATGTGACAGAAGAATAACACAACACATTCAACAAGATGGCCTCTGTACATAACCGCTCAATAATATAGACCACTGATAGAAACACATATATTTGCGTTCACTTCAGTGGACCCACTGTTTCCTCAAGTTACGTGCTACCTTAGCGTGCCTTATCTTGTGCTATCAGTCATTGTGTAAGTGAAGGCACCTGTGATAATGATGGTCAAATCAGGATTGATTGATTAAGTAAGAAGAGGAAGTAAGGGAGGGCTGATGAGCAAAAAGAAATAAGATTGAGGGGTTGACCTCTACACTTAAGATAAGAATAGTGATGGAGAGTCCCAGTGGCCTCAGATAACCTTTAACTAAAGGTGCTGAGTCACTATTTAC